TCTTGAGCATCTGTTTCCATTCCGAGCTTCGAGAGGGCTAAAGCCTGCAAGTAAAACGCTGTTGGCCATTCGGGTATGCACACCTGAGCCTGCATTGCATCTCTCAGTGCAAGCTCTTGTTGGTCTGTCATTAAATAGGAGAAAGCCCGTCTAGCGAAAACTGTTGCCGAAGGAACTGGCATCATCCCCACCAACTATAAACCATAGATAAAGGAGTTAGAAATTCTTTTCGAACAACAAGAATTATGGATTTGTTGCTTTTTCCTCTCACCTTTGAGTAGTATTCAATTGAATTCTTGAAATCCTTGTCTCGGAAAGCAACGTCCCCGAACTTTTTTGTATTGAGCATCTCCTGCACTTGTTGTGTCCATTCTTGAAATGAAAGCTCGTTTTCTGCTCCTTCCTCATCTCTGTAACCGGTTTTAAGCAAAATGTCGTGAAATGTCGCAAGGTCCATCTTCGCACAGGCCTTTCCAAGAGGAGAAAGCATAGTCGGTAGTATTACTGTGTTCTTTGGTAAGCCCATTAAGGTATGAGAAGCAACCTAAGCAACAAAACATAAACCAGGATAAATAATTTGGATATTAAGATCATATGGTCGATTTCAGGAAAGGATTATTTCAAACCTCTTCTTGCTTTTGAAGTGGTGCCACTGCAGAGAGAAGAAATTTGGTATCTGGTCGATCCTTGGCCTCTGACTGAAGGCATTTTGAAGCAAGCTCAACTAATTTAGTCGCATCTTCATTCGCATATTGCCCTTCAAGAGATGAATCCATAAGAAGCAATGCATTTTTCCCTCTTATGATATCGAGAGCCTGATATGAAACATCACAACCAGTTCAGATAAGAAGACACTATAAGAATTCTTGGCCAATTGACAAAAAATCCACATGAAGTGAAGGTAACTAGAAGCACATACATGACTAGGTGGAATGTGTTTGCCGCTTAAAAGATCTAACAGTATAGTTCCATAACTGAATATCACACTTTCAGGAATGACTCTACCTGCAAAAAAAAACAAAAATACAGACCTTTAATCTTCAGTAACGAATTGATTCGTCTTCGAGTATGATTCTCAAGATCAAGAATGTTACCTGTCCGTAAAAACTCAGGTGGAGTATAAGCTAAGTTGGTACTGTAGCTTTTTCCATCCCTACTGTTCTTCATTAGACCAAAAGTAGATAGACGAGGATCACCTTCCTCGTCGAAGAGGATTCTGTATGCATTTAGGTCATGGTAGATTTTTCGGTTCTCAATGTTGCAGTAGTCAAGTGCTTGTGCAATATAGTCTGCAATTCGAACACGCATATCCCATGGAAGTGGCTGCTTTTCCCCTGAAGATATACACAAAAAGAAGAGAGTAAGGAATCTAAACATGATTATAAACCATATAACACGAGAAGGGTGAGACAGTTACAGTGAAAGAGGTGCTTTGAGAGAGTATCATTTGGCATATACTCTGCTACCAACAATCTCTCATCTCCCTCAGCACAGCAACCAATCAGACTGACAATTCTCTTGTTTCTAAGTTTCCCAACACCTGTTGCTTCCACCTGATTTCACAAGACAATCACGGTCAACACCAGGACAAAGCTCCCACGTTTATTATCTCAGGTTTCTATTTTGGCTATAAATATCAACAGTCAAGACATTCATTAGATAGATCCTAGGATTTAAAAGTAGCTTTAGACCATAAACAGTCACTTTTTTGCATTTTAGCAAATCAAACTCAGGGAAGCTTATTATTTGATCAAAAGCCTATGTATTTTATCTTTCCTGTAATTAAAAGCTACACCTAACACACTATTCATAGCTTTGCCTAGGAAGAGATTCAACTAGGGTCTAAAATCCCAGTCAATGAACAAAGTGCTAAAGAACAAACCATGCATTGGTCCTCTCAGATTTCTTACCACAAACTGTTGAGCATCAGGCCAAGATTGCCTAGAGAATCGCTTGATGGCTACAAGATGATTCCCTTCGAGCTTGCCTCTGTAAACCACATTAGGAGCTTTCTCTCCACCTTCAGAGACAATGCAGCTAGGACTAAACCCATTGGTTGCTTTTCTCAACTCATTCAGATCAAATTCTTTGAAATTTTGGATATCCTGATCCACTTGGTCCCCATTTACTGTAACCACACAACAACAAACACATAACCCAAAAAGGCAAATTAGTCTAAACAAGAGTTTAATTCCAAAAAGGCGGAGACTTTACAACTTTTTTCTGCTTTAAGCCATAAAAAAACCCTAACCCCACAAATTAAAGCAAGCCCATAACAAGAACAGACGAAAGCTTGCAGATTTAATCAGTGAGCAACAAAATGTGAGTACTTGGAATCTAAGAGACTATTATTACCTGATTCTGGTTTGTTTGGAGCTGATGGATCATCAGAAGAAGGAAGATTAGCAGTCTTTGAATGTAAACAACCCATTTTATCTCACATCAAAATATTGAACAATTAGTTTTTCCACAAAGGTCAGAAATTTTTGGATAAGAAACAGAGATTGAAAGAGAAATGATTACGAGAGGTTTTGGTCTGTGTTGTGTTCTTGGATTGAGGTAATAAAACAATGGTGGGATTTGATTTTGGGGTTTGGATTTGTGCTTTGTAAGGAGCTGAGGAGGCAGTAGGATATTAAAAATTTAATAAAATTTGAAAACTTAAAGACAAAAGGAAGTAGCTAGAGAGAGAGAAAGATCTGAAACATATAGCTTCACAAAAAGCTGCACAGTTGAAAAAATAGAGGTAGCAAGAAAAAATAAAATAGAGTCATGTGAAGCAAAGATCTTTTAATTTTTCTGCACTATTAAGATTTTGCTTGCATATGCTTGCCTTTTTTTCCTCGGTACTATACACAATTGTTTTAATTTTGCATTCACTTTTTTTTTTTTTTTGTCTTCTATGTAAAATGTAATATTACTATGTTTAAGAGAGAAATATGCATATGAATTATGAAGTATCCAAAAGTAAGTTGTTATCTCCACCAAAAAAAAGTAAGTTTTTATTTTATTTTCAGGTAATTAGATAAAGTTTATATTTTTTGTTTCTCTTGTTTTTGGGGTCAACTTCAAGTAAATGTTAATATCTCAAATTAACTTCTATTAAAAAAAGGCTATAAAAATGTATATATACATGATTGACCACAAAATTAATTTTATAATCACGATAAATTAAAAATTAATTAACTAGGAAAGAGAAAAAAAACACAAACCAAAAACTCCTTATTCTTTCATTTTATTACAGAATATCATCAACTAAAATATTGTATTTCTTACTTTATATAGATAGTTACCGTATTAAACAAATATATCATGTTAAACATCACATTAAACAAGTTACCGTTTTAAATGATATATAGATAGTTACCGTGTTAAATAAGTTATCATATTAATATATTATAGAAATGATATCAACAAATAAATAAGAATTGTGAATTGTTATTCTTTTCAAAATTTTATCTTAATTAATTAACATATAGCAATATCAAAAAGATATTGATAGCGGTAACAATAATTTTAACCCACTACATATACTTGTAACATGTTAAGATAATTTTTACATTAACGTGTTAAGATGCAAATAGCAAAGAAGTCATATTTTGTGTCAATTAATTATTGAATCTTATGTGGCTATCCTTTATAAATACTCTAAGACTAATGGAGTTTTGGGTTTTCTGTTTTTGTTGTTGTAAATTTCCTGTTTTTTTAGATTTCATTTTTCTTTATATAAATTATTTTACTTTAATAAATATTAAAGATCTGAAAAATATTTATAAAAGAAAACATGTACTTTAAAAAAAATAAGTTATTTACATCATGAACATATAAATAAATAAAAATATGGCATAAATCTGTCTCAGTTTATGGTTTACTATTATATCTTATCTCAAAAACCACCAATCAAAGTCAACAACAAACTACAACAATAATGAAAATAACTGTTGCAATCTCTCTTCACTTTTATTTTTTCGCCTAACTATATAGAAAATTATTATCATTAGATTGAGCAATTATTAATCTAATAAAAATGTCAAAATGATTTGGTTTATGTCTTCCATTCTTTGTTAAAACTATTTTCATTTTGTGTCTAAAAAATATTGCGATTTTGCTTTTGCATAATAAGTTATTGGACAACATAAATAAAAGGTCACATCACATGACAAGTCTATCATGGGGCACGTGCCTCTACCTTCTTGGGTCCTGAATTTTTACCCGAAGATGGAAAGTAACTATTTCTCTTTGCAACATTTTCTATTAATTATAATTTTTATTTTAGCATAACACAATTTCATGATAAATTCCAAAATGAATAAGTACCGTTATTACAACGATTCGTTTCACACAAAAAAGTCTTCGGTATCAATCTATTCACCGACAAAAAAGAAAAAAAAATGGCTTAAACATGAAAAAATGAAAAATGCAAGATTTTTAATACTATAACACACAGATCCTTAAATGAGAGAAGTGTACTTTGTCTGAATCTTTGAATAGTTTAAATCATTATAACGTGGACCATAAACTGAAGAATCTTGGACCGAATCGTTACCACTAATCATATGGGAATTTCTAAAAAAAAAAAAAGGACATAACGTAAATTCGTAAACTAAATTTGATTTAGGTAATTCTCAATAATAACACCGAAGCATAATTACAGACTAATTCTATATATATATATTTTACATACGAAAATAATTAATTGTACAATCTTTTCTTTTGTATCACTTACAGCAACATTATTGGCAGTATCTTAAAACCGAAATATATAAGATACAAAACACGCTGATAAGATACTCTATTTTGGTTTTAAGAGACTACCAATAATGTTGGCCTTATATTTCAACTTGACTTCTTTATTTTTATGAAAATTCAGATTCTTACCATTTTTTTAGTTCTTTATTCTCAACTACACTTTTTCTTTATAGGCTGATTCAATATCAGATAAATTGATCCAAAAGCTCCAAAACAGTGACCTGATCAGTAAAGAATTAAATTTGTAAATAAATGGTCCAAATTGTATAAAATCTACACTAATTAATCCAGGGTGTAATTTGTACTTTACAATAGTTACGGGTTAAAAGAAAAGTGAAAAACTCTGGATCAAGGGGGTTACTGACTTCTTTAAGAACTTTGTGGCTAATTTAGTAAACATTCTAAAACCACGGGCCAATATGCAAAAACTCGTTACCTTAGCTACTAGACGGCAAGGTACTGTTCTCTTTGCCTCCGGCGACCCAATAATGTTTAACGGCGACGAGAATTTTCTCCGGCACAAGGGGACCGTCTTCGTGATCCATCAATTTAGTGTCCCATCTCATTCCCTTTGTGATTTTTCTTACATCGTTTAAGACATCAACCTCGTCCCTGAATATAACTGTTCCTTCTGGTCGCAGTATCCGATCCATTTCGAGAAGTATGTCTTCAATTTTGCAACTGCATTACGAGTGTTCAATAGTTAAGTTTCAGATTCTCAGAAAGTTCATAGCTTTTGAGGAAAAACTAAGTAGAAGTATGTAAAGTTTAAAGATACATGTTACGGTTTATCCTTGCTTGATCCAGGTTTGTGCAAATTACCAAAAGTGTTGATTTTTAACGATGTTAAGAACATAAATGTGTAATCTTTTGGATCTTTTTTGGTAACAGAATCTTGAGCTAACCTGTTCTGATACAAGCTGAAGACATTGTTGGCGTGGATGAGATCATATGTTCTCGGATAAGTTGAAAATCCCTCGCACCTGCAGATTTCAAAAGGAAAGACATCAGTTTTGGTATTCAATGTTGTTCTACAGAAGAAAGAAATGTGAGTTTGTAAAATTTACCAGTCATGGTAGATACCGATAAGACCCCTTTCGTATACAACACTTAGAGTGTTCTTTGCAATGGTTGGAACAACATTCATAACCCAAGATTTAGGCGATTCAAGCGCTGCTGCGAATCCACCAAGTCCAGCATTCATATCCATCACATTACGGTATCTTGTGCTGCCTATCAGTCTGTTGATTCTTTTGTAGGTACTCATTCGCTTCTTCCACAGTTTGTTATCTTCCTGGTATGTATCAGCATTCACACCCTCGATCAGACCTTTGGATATACACGGAGGCACTGAGAATAGTCTTTCTGGAAACTTCTTTAGTTTCCCTCCCGCTACTTCTTGTTTGTTTGATACTTTTGGGAATGGAGTCACACATACTTCCATCTCCTTGTACCATATATCATCGGCGTCTTTTCCTTTGCAGGTTTTAACAGATGATGGCCTATCACATGATCTGTCATTTGTTTTCTTTCTCCAAATTGCAATGTCTCCCTTCTCATACTTCTTCTCCCAACATAAAGACTCTGCAATCTCTTCTATTTTCTTTTGCTCTGCATTGAGTTCTTTCTTAGACCGCTTCCACGTCTTGTAGTATGTCTTCCAGTTGATCGGTGGCCCAGATAAAACCCAGTAACCTCCCGGTCTCAAGACTCTATCGACTTCCATTAAGTACATTCCCTCTGCATATTCAATCCAATGCAAAAAAGAAGAAGTAATCAATCTCGTTAATTTTCTGTCTTTTCCACTGAAATGAGTGTAAAATGATCAAAGGTATCACCATTTGAGGTCCACGGTATCAAACACCGAGAGCATTGAGCCATATCAAAGGCTCTTGGTGGGTAAGGAAGACGAATTGATCCAAGTACACCAATGATCGCTGGAACACCTCTCTCAAGTGCAAATTGTACCTGAGCTTCATGGTTATCCCGTGGTGCAAACGACATAGTCAATACATTCTTCTTGAGCATATATGCACCCCAGCTTGCAACCTAAGATGTAAAGAGAATAAATATAAGCTCTACAAAATGCAGTTCTAACATCACCGTGAGAGTTTGTACGTGAACCAACTTACCCCACATCCAGTGTCCAGTGCAGTTCTAACAGTTCCATCTTTGATTGGGATTACGGTAGCTAGCTCTTTGATATACGCATCAGCGCCTTGTGGAAACATAGTTCCTCCTCCAGGGAACTTAAACACATCCCCTTGAAACTTCACCCAATTTTGTCCAGCTTTTTCAACTGTCAAGCTCTTGAAAGGAACATTTGCATAGTGAACGTAATCACGGCTTTTAGGCCAAGGGAAAGGAGTCTTATACCCTTTAGGAGCTGGAATCAGACACCGCAACTTCTCATTCTCTGGTGGACAATGTCTCTCTCTATAAATCATATTATCCCTAGGAAATTTCATTGCCCGGTATTGTTCTTGACAAGGCGTGTAATCCTTGTACTTAACATCACACGGCTTGAACACAACGGCTTTCGGGTTTGCTCTTTCAGGAATCTTTACTGTCCTATGATGAGGCTCAAAATCGAGATCTTTTACAATGTCTGTAACTGTAACATTGGTACACTGAGCTTGCTTTGTTACTTCCATTACTATACCATCTCCTTTACCAAAACCACTCTTTTGCCATGCTCCAAGGAGATAGAAGAAGCAACATAAACCAGTCACAATGATGAGAGTAAACAAAGTTCTAGTCGAATTATTCACTTGTGGATTGTTCTTCGAACCCATGACTTCAAAATTTCCTGAAATATTGGATCATAAAATGTAAGATAAGATCAATCCCTTTTAGTACTTAGATAGTAACAAACGAGTTACAGATAGAAACAGAGTAATCAATAGCAAAATCTTCAAAAATAGTATAAAACTTCACATTATTTCGTTATGATTGAAAAGTTTTGATTTTTAACAGGAAAAATCGAAACTTTAAGTAAAGCTAAGAAACCTAGATTTCAGAGAGACGAATCCATGATGATAGAAGAAAAAGATTGTAACTTTGGCATTGCACTTAGAAACCCAGTTGAATCGAAACTGAAATTGGAAAAACCCAGAAGGTGATTTTGCAAGAACATATACTTCCAAGAGCTAAAACCTATCTAGAAAGAGAGAAAGTATTGACCTGTTCGATGTTAGAGCGAGGTCCTTTTTGTTTGTTTCTCTCAAGTCTCAAGATCACTGCTGCTTTTGCTCTTTCAGTGATAAGCTGTCGACTAATAAAAAAAGCTTTGACATTGATGGAAGAAGAAACACTCACACAAGTCATAAACATAACGTCTCTAATTAATAAATAAAGATTTGTTTTTTTTTTCCTTTTTAAAATTGAATCACATGTTGCTCAAACTTCAATCTCTTCCAACGAAAAGGTTAAATATTGTTTTCGTAAACAATCTTGATTTAACCAATGTTAATACTCAAAACCCAAAAGTCCAAATCAGCACATGCATCTATGGACTATGGTATATCATGAAGCATTTGTGTGGTAATCACTAATGATCAGTTATTAATTTGTTGAGGAAAAAGTGGAATTTTTGGCATGTAGAAGTCTCTAGTGGAGACTGGAGACACCGAGACAGTTGACACGCACTCTCATAAATCACATGACATATACAATCCGGTTACTGTCAACCGGAATTGAATCGTACTAAACGATTGACAAAAGGATACATATTCTAATTACGTTTTCTCTTCTGCATCCAAATAAGAGCTCATCAAGTAACTTTCAACAACTCTTAACTTAATATTCAAGCAGCACCATCATAGATATAAAAAACAAAACATGGAAACTCGACAATGCTTCATTCCTCCTTGGATCTTCTTCTAACATTACGTGAAGAATCATAACAAGCTTCTATATAGTTCTTTTGTAAGTGTATTAAGAACTTGTCTCTGAAACACACAAAAAATAAAACAGATAAAGATCAATTTTTGAGACAAATGTTTATTGTTGACTCAATAGAAAGGTTTTCAGCTTCTTACCAGTGATTCTCCTGTTTTATATTTTTTGCAAGATTGTGTTTGAGTCGGTAACTTTTATAACTTTCTTCTGAGTCTCTCACCGTTTCTTCAACTTTTATAAATTTCTTCTGAGTCTCTCGCCGTTTCTTCAACTTGGATAAACTAAGTGAACCTTCAACTGAGTCATTGATGAGGAAACAACTTTCAGTGGATGTAGAAAATAGACATAGACGAGTGAAAGAGGATAAAGAACTATTTCAAGATACATACCTTGCCATTCCAATACAACTTTCTGTTCACCCTTGACGAGTTTCTGGTATCGGTCTATACGTGAATCCTCTTGTATTAACTCCTCAACCTATAAATTGACCAAAAATATAAAGAACCATATGAACCATGTCAGGTAGCAAAACCGAGATTCGATATTAAAAAAAAAATGATACTGTTAACAAATCTTCAGAGAAAGAACAGAATGCGATTAAGCATCTCTGTTATTGATTGATAGGCAGGACCAAAAACAGCATACCTTACTCCATAACTGAGGATCTCTTCTTTCTCTAGGCAAAAGAAGATAATCACGTAACCAAGATGCGATAACCCAAGGATTGCAGTCACTAGTGTCTGCAGAATTTGCAGCAATTGCATTTTCTTCCAGGAAGTCACAGACCTAATGAATAAATTCAAAACAAATCACATTATATATTTACACAAAGACAAGGATAATTGACAAATCAAGATGCTGTGCGGATAAAGAGGTACCTGGTTGTATAGCTCTTCCACTCTACGTGAAAATATTCGCTTACTTCGACGTTTCCTACGCAATATTGTCCAGCCCACCAACTGTACATCTCAACACTGTAAACAAGCTTGAAGATGTTGATAAAGTAAACTAAACCACTCAAAGATTGAGTTTTTTTCTTTCTTTCTAATAGTACAATACCATTGCACAGGAGGACGAGATGATTAAGATGTTCCTCAAGAGCCATTCACGCATGCGACAAGTCCTGGGTTTGTAACTTTTGACTACCGATTCAGGGCACTTCAACTCATTCATCCTTCAAAATAAATAAAAGTTAAAGTTAGAATCTTTAGTGAATAGTTAGTAACCAAAATTGAATCAATTAATCAGTGAAGAAAACACCAACCCATTAGAATTAGTCCTTTTCCCTAGTAGCTCGGTGACAGATTTTACAGCCTTTCCTTTCACAAAATAGTAAGCAGGCTCGTCTAAGTTTTTCAAGAAACCGTTGCTACGTAGATCTTCCCAAACATCATTCTCGGGAACCTAACAGATAGATGAGAATAGCTCAATACAAAACTCACTATTACCACAAAATGAACACTCAAATAAATCAAAACACTATAACGTTAAAGATAAATCAGAAGCATACCCATATTTTTCCAGTACCATAGCATTCACTATGAGCATATTCCTCACAAACTTTTCTCTCAAAATACCGAACCTGAATCAACAAGACAACACAATGGCCAAAATTCAAACCAAATCATCAACAACAACACAAAAAAAAACTTAAAAATCCGATTTTTTTCAAATAGCTCAATACCAATTTCTTGGTCAATTCATTGATTTCTCCATCTTCTACACATAAATTTCCTTGCTTTCTGTATCCATGATTACATTTCAACTTCCCTCGGTAACATACTCCATTAATTGGACAAGGTTCACAAACATCTGAAACAACGAAATTGATTAATTAAACACGTAATTACAGAATTCAACCATTAAAAAAAAAAATACAAGTCTCGAGCTTACCCAAGTCTGAATCGATGGAATCAGAGTTACTATCGCAAAAAGATATAGTAGGATTAGAGCTCAGCGACTTAGCGATGAAATTGCAGGTAAAAGCCACCGCACAAGCCACAAGCAAAACGGTAAGGAGTCTCATAAACTCATCTTTGGAAGGGAAGAAGCTTCCTGGTGGCTCGAATGATGATGCCATCGGAAAAGAAGAAGAAGATTTAGGGTTCTGTTCTCCGATTTGTGTCTCTTCCTTGGTATCGGAATTTTCAGGAAAATTAATTTCGAACCAATAAAAAAGTTTAAATGTTATTATATATTTTGAGGCGGCAGTTATGGGCTTATTTTGGGCCCAAGTATACTTTTAAGGTCCAGAAAATTACCGAAGAGGATTAAGGAGATATAGAAAACTTAATACCTCCCTAATTGATTCGTAATTGTAATTATTTTTTTAATAAAATTACAGAAGATAACTTATTTGGACCAATCATATGATTTTCATTTTAAAGTGATTTTAATCCATAATACGGTATAGATACAGTAGAATATTTTAGTTATACGCGTTTTTGTAACACATATTTAAAGACAATCTCTTCGTGTCAAAGAAAAAAAAAGAAACTTGTATCGCCGTTTTGTCTTCCTCCTTCTCATAACACTGATTCCTTCCACTCCAAAATCTCTCTCACTGTTCCATTTATTCTTCCTCTGGTAAGCTTCTTCGGCTTTTTTTTTTTCCCCGTTGTAGAAATCGTATACGTTTTTATCGAATTCGTTTCTTAAAGTTAAAAGTTCCAACCTTTTCCAAGGGTTTTATCGATCGCAAATTTGATAAACCCTAGTTCGTCTTTTTCTATTTTGAGAAATTTTTTAACAGAGATTAGTAAGGTTTTGGTCGGAATTTTGATGGGTATCTATTTGTGGTATCGATTTTGTTCGTTTTGATGTATAAACCCTAATTTCGAGTCTTGTGCAATCGCGTAGATAAACCCTAATTTCAGTTGTTTTTTTGTTTTGTTTTGCATACAGGTGTTTGTTTTCGTTGAATGTTTTTGTAAGAATGATTGCAATACCCAAGCTTAGGATAAAGTTTGGTCCTGAAGGTTCTGTCAGAACTTTCCAAACTTTTCCGGGTAGTGAGAAGAAAATTGAGCATTCGTTAGGTGAAGACTTGTCTCATTCCGCTGAGCGTTCGAAGAAGCGTGGACCTACTAATGAGATTGATGATGTTCAAGCTAAGAAGAAGCAGAAGTTGGACAGTGATTTGTCTAGTCAGTGTTTGGCATTGTTGAGGGGTTTGATGGATCACCAGGTTGGATGGGTTTTTGACAAGCCTGTGGATCCTGTTCGTTTGAAGATTCCTGATTACTTCTCTGTCATATCGAAGCCAATGGATTTAGGCACAATCAAATCGAAGCTTTTGAAGAACGGGTATGGTAACGCTGATGAGTTTGCAGCAGATGTTCGGTTAACTTTTGCCAATGCGATGGCGTATAATCCAACGGATAATTGGGTTCACAAGTCTGCAAAGGAAATTAAGGAGGTATTTGAGGTCAAGTGGGAATCACTGAAGAAGAAAAAGGTTTCGAAATTACCCCGGACTGGAGTTACAGAAGTTTCTAAGAGACAGCCAGTTGAAGTCGATTGTCCAATACAGAGCAGCCCTGGAACATCAGCATCCTCTGGGGTTTTCTCCGTGGGATTGAAAAAACCAGCAAAAGGGAACTCCGAAAAGGGATCTCTTTCATCAAAGCCAGTGAAAGTGCAGAGCAAAAAGGATACTCTTGCTGTAATGCCAAAAGCATTAGCAACGAAGGTACGATAAGATCGGAATCCTAGAGTTGTTACTGTTATCATGTTTAAGTTTCTTACTAATAGGATTGTCATATATTTGGTATTTTCAGTCGAGGACTAAGAAACTCGATCATGGCCTTGGAGACAATTCAGCTCTGAAAATCCCAGCCAAAGGTACATTGTTGGAGAAAATATATTCTGCTTTGTGGCTTCTAAGCATTGGAGCTTATCATTCGCATGACATGCAGACTTAGTTCGAACTGCAGCCTGTAGATGTGGTTTATGTGGTAGGACTGTTTGCATATGCCTCAAGTCCTGTAGCTCATCCGGAAGTGAAGCTTCTTCATTAACGGTATATATACACTATATCTTGGTCTCTGATAAATTTAATCTCCTCTCAGTCTTGCACTAACAATAGGAATTCATGTTTCAATGCTAACAGTATTCTCAAGTAAAGAACACGTCAGGATCACAGGCTAGTGAGTTAGAGCCTCAATCCAATGGTGAGAAATCTTAAGCTATATTCCTAGTTTCATTCAAAATTTTATTCTGCTATCGCTATTTGTAAACAGTATACCTTTAATTTCTGTATGAATGAAGGGTCTGTGACTTCAAGGAATGAGAGAAATGGTGGTGTCAATTCTCAGTTTGATAAACCTTCAAACAGTGCTCTGTTGGATAATGGTAAGTTGTTTTTCCTCTCTTATGAGTTCAATTGAATCTGAAGAATTCCTCTTTTCTGTATAGTTTGGTTTCTTAAAACCATCCTATTATTGATACAGAGTTGAAAACGGCATTTCCTGCTCTGCCTCCAGTACCTCCTGAGAAGGCTCTTCGTGCTGCAATAATCAAAGCTCAATATGCAGATACCATTCTAAAAGCTAAACACAGAAAAGTCCTTGACCAGGTTTCATTACTCTCTTGATCCTAATTGACTAAACAGTGACTTTGGACAACTTATGTTTTACTGAAAGTTGTTGTCTTGTTTATTGACAGAATAACAAAGCTGATCTAATTAGAATACAGATAGAAAAGGAACAGATGGAAAGAGCACAACGTGAAGGTACCCTATTACGTGTTCTAATGGAACTACAAAAGGCTCAAACCTTTCGATGTTTTGTCTCTTATGTTTCAAAAAACATACAGAGAAAGCTAGGATTGAGGCCGAGATGAGAGCTGCTAAGGTTGCTGCTCAAATGAGGGCACAAGCGGAGTTGAAAGAAAAACGTGATAGACAACGGCTTGAACTTGCAAAGGTATTTTGCGGAATCTTAAAAAACCGTTTTTGCAGCTCCTCAAAACTCTGTTTCAAAAAGATCGAAGAACCGTGATTCTAATATCCTGTAAACATGTCTACAGATGAAAATAAGCTACGATTTTGAACATAACAACCCCTCGAAATTGGAGAAAGATTTTTTTGAAGTCTCTGGTTACTTTAGTCTGGCAAGAACTCGGTTGCTGTTTGAAGAAGAGTTGGGTCTTGTGTTAAAAAGTGATGATGATCATATGGAACTGGAAGAGATTGGGTCAGAGATCTGTTATGAGAGAATGGACGATCTTGAGGAAGGAGAGATCCTTTAGAATTTTGCCTCTAGACGAGACCCTCTTGGGTGTAATTTTTGACCAGAACACGAATGCTTGTGATCTTAACTTTTTGTTAAAATTAAATGCTCGTGGCTAATTATTGAATGTTCATAACATAATGTATAGTTTAGTGTTTTGTTCTCTTGTAAATAGTACCACCGTCTGTTTCTCATATGAAAAATTAGTAAATTAATTTAGATGGCGTAATGATCCATATTGCGATATATTTCCATGATTTAATTATTATTCATGTGTTACTACTCCCTTCATCTCTTTTTAATTTCTGTATACACAAATTAAAAAGGGCATTTTATTAATAACGCCCAAATAAGTTTTTTTCAAAATTTAGCACACACTCCACAAAATTCTAAATATAGTGCTATATTTCATGATTAAACTTTCAAAATTAAATTTTAAACTCTAAATCCTAAACCCTACCCCTAAAATCTATACTTTAAATGTAAACTAGTATAGTTAAAAAAAAAAATGTAAACTAGTCAACTCAAACATTTAAAAAATTTAAAATATTGTAGTTATGTTAATTAGTGTTATTTTGGAAATTTATGGAGTGTATATAAAAATGGTCCAAAATACTTAGTTTAGTGCTATTTGAGGGTAATTTTTTTTTTTTTATCAACTGTTCTTAAACCATAATAAAACACAACTGCATTATAGTCGGACACAAACAAAATATAAATGAGAAAATTTTTACAGTGGAAACCAATCAAATAAATTCAAACCACACAATTACATCTTCAAACAATCAAATTGGATAAGAATTGAAATTACAAAACAAAGAAAAAGAAGTAAAGAATTTAAATGATTTCTTGGATTTATTTTCGAACTCCGTAGATAGCAGCAATGTAGAGAAGTTGTGTTGCCGAAAGTATTATTAGAAATGCTTCCATTGTTCTCTGCAACGATATAAAAAATGAGTTAACTTAGTTATACAGTTTTCAAAATAACAGAATTTTAATTTTAATAATCGTTTTACATTTTTACAATTGCTATGATGATGAAATTTTTTCAATAAAATGATATACAATAATTAATAGAGGTTTGTTTACTCACCAGACGAGCATTTCTCATCCCAAGTTCAATTTCCTTGCAGCCAAATCTACACAAGAACATATATTAAAGAGACAAATGTTTGTTAATCATTTTTGTGTAGAAATTAAATTATACTAAATCAATGAAAAAAAAAACAGATTGAAACATTGAGTCAAAAGTGTTGTGTTAATGTCCATATATACCCCATGGCTAAAAGTGTGAGCGACCAAGCAATGGTGGCGGCAGATACAGCTGCCGGGAGACTCGTTGTAGTCCATGACTGGAGATGACTGACGCCAGAGATAACCGAGGCAGCTCCCGCAACTCCAGCTATTAAAGCAAACGTCACGAAGAATCCGGTTGCCGCGTTACCCATTGGGAAATGTATCGGCGAGAAATGAGCCGGAAGACTATAATCCGCACCTTGATTACCATGGAAAAAAATATATTGAAATGGTTAGTAATAATGACATTAGCCTTGTCTTAGCTATAGTTTCAATAAATGTAACTAAAGTATTTATGAATTTATTTACAGAGGTTTTACATCATACGTAAAGCACTCGATCTTTCTCTTACGAATCATGCAAATTCAAAACGTGTTTACATATATATTACTTGCATGCATAAATACTGATTTGTTTTTAATCAGACACTAAATGGGTGCAAGAAGTTAGATTGAATTCATATAAAGACGACACTTTAGTCGATCAAAGAACTTAATACCAAGAAAGGAAAAAAGAAAAAGGAAGAAAATTTAATAAATCAACTTACCAATAAGGAAGCCATGGTTGATAGCTTTGTTCATGGACCATGCGCCGATTCCAAGAACAATGGCATACATACAAAAGTTCAGAACTAAAAGAAAAGAGGCCACTGGTTTCATCTGATGTTCCACCATTTTTTTTTTCTTGGATGTGAAATGACTCAAGAGGTAGCTTATGTTTTTTTGTTTTGTTTTTTGTTAAATCTTAAGAGCTTAGGGTTTATATATAGATTCATTCAAGAGAGTTTAGATTAATGGTGCTTTTCTTGGTTAAGGCTGTTTGTTTTTTTTTCTTGATTCTTAAAGGTCATTTAGTTCTTGTTCCTGCAGGTTGTAAAGCTGAGTTGCTGCGGTTAACTTTTTATGTCTCCAAAGAATCCATATTTTGCTTCATTCACAGGGCACATAATAAAATATTTGAAAATTATTAAATAGAGTTTGAACTAAAAAAAACAAAAAAAAAACCTTTGGAAACGTCAAGATTCTTTAGTTCACTTAATTTCTTTCGTATTTTTCTTGTTCTATGTTGCTTTTAGATTTATTTTGGCCAAAAAAATAATGTTACTTTTAGATTTTCTTTTCTTTTATATATAATTCACATATTATACTCTGATGGCAAAAAAGAATGAAACATTCTAGTCATAAGTATGTAAGGACAAAATTTTGATACATTTTACAGATTTGAAGACAAAGAAAAATAGAAAACGTGTATAAGAAGTTATTGGAGGGAACCATCGATGGAGATACCTTGGGAAGCAGGTCATACAATCCTAATCGATTACAAGAGAATATAATAGTAGTAATGATAGGAGAAGTCATAGGATTGATCATAATATATTTGAATGTTGCTATTTCCTTTTACAATCGAAACTAAGTAAAGCCAAATCATCCCGGCCTAGAAAAAATCATTATCATCATCCCCAAAGTATAATCTCAACATTTTGTGAATCTTCTCTTCTCTCAACTGATTACTCACAGATGCAGCCTTTCTAAACATGATGCAGCAAACATAGCAGACCTCATGTGACCTTACTATAATTGGTGTTTCAGATCCTTTGCAAGATAAAGCTGCACAAATCACATTTCATTACATTATCTAACTAATTTGACCATCTCTAAATCTAAAAAAGACTATAATATTTGTAAATATTGTTCACTTCTACTATCAAAAGAGAATGTGTGTTTAATACATGCATGAGAATAGTTTAGAAAGAAGAGGAAAAACAATAATAGGATCGGAATAAGCCATTGAAGAGGTAGAAAAGACAACAAATCCTAAACTTGTCTTATATTGTCTCATTGTCTGATACTACAAGATAAGAGGTTTTCTTCTTGGTGTATGATCCATTATTTCCATTAATAGACTATACGTGCAACCCAAACAAAGCACAAAAAGAATCAAAACAGAAGAAACTAATCACCAAATGAAACAAAGTCTTTGTGAACGGTGGCAGAATCTATCAAACTAATCACAATTGATGTGGGAACTAAAATAAATAAGATTTTTGGGTTACCTGAAAACGTACGTCTCTTCAGCTAGGGGAGACATTGAAGACTCTTGCACATATTCTCCATTATAGTTTAAAACTGAGAAAACTGCTTATTTCAAATATTCACAACCAAAGATTCAAACTTCAAAGTGACGTCTCGTGTTCTTTCTGGGTATTAGAGGCAAGGCAAAGCAGAGGTTTCTTGAGTGGTCCTTCACTTAATCTGCAAAAGCAATAAATATTGTGATCTTGATCCGGAAAAAGAATTGTGAGCTATATAGTATAATGTGCAATTCATGCTTAACCCTTACATGCAGTCGCTTCCAATTTGTCTCTGTCTCTTCACAACTGTCTCAACACACAATCTTTACTGTGCTCAGTCTTGTTAACCAAATTGTCTTCATTGGCTTCACAAACATGTGGAAGTCGGTTCTCCGGTAATGAACATTCGTCTAACAATCGTATTCCCCATTCTTTCAGTTTGAAGGTATAGTCATACCTGTATGACATCAATCGATCCAGCTTTCTAATCTGAATCTGCATATCCACGTGATCATAGTTCAGTTGAGCAAGAGGAGCGTTATCTTTGTTTAGAGGTACACGACAGTCCAATATAAACAAATGATTATCCTTCTTATCTACTCCAAATCCATGTGGCCGACCAAAGGTATCTAAGCTGTTCCCAAGTCTGTCTTTGAACCGACAGTTTACACGGATATATACTCCATATCTCCAAGGTAAGGACAAAGAGTCGAAACTAACCACTGCGCAAGCCTTAAATCTGAAGAATTGTTGGGAGAGAGAGGTTTGAAGTAGAGGGATATTGGTCAAAGAGATTTCACAAGTTCGGTGAGTGAAATATGAAGGCACTTCTTCACCTGACAAGATCATGGAGTTAAAGATAATTAATGGGTTGCCAAGGAGAGCTTCTGGATCCAAGTTGAGGAACTTGAAATGGAACCAAATTTCCTTGGCCTTGGCCTTACTATCTGGATGTGGATCAGAATAGAAAGCCTCGTCAAGAACTGGAAACTTAGAGTGGATATTGTCTGTTACCATTGCCACCTCACTTGGATTACCATTCCAACTAGCTGCAGTCAATGACCCGCAGTCTGAAAAGTCAGCCATTAGACGTTTCAGTTTGTAAATGTTTGGGGATACACGTTTTAGATCTTTGCATTTCTCCATATTTATGTATGTGAGCTTCGTGAAGTTCTTGATCCACCAAGGGATCTCTTCTATCCCTGTTCGTTCTAGAGAGAGTTGTTTGATGTTGGTTGAGATATCAGGAAAAGTCTTCAACCGTGAGCATCCGCTGAGATGAAGGTCTCTGAGATATTGAAAGTTGATGCCGGTGGGAAGAGTTTCTAGATTTATGCAATCAGTAATTTGCAAATTATCAAGTTTTGTGAAATTTTGGATAGAGGAAGGAATCTCGACCAAACTTGGAATATCCGAGAGAAACAATCTCCTTATAGAGCGAGGCAGCATACCCATGAGAGGTGCAAGCGGCTAAACCAAAAATTAATAAAATAGAGTTGTCAGTTCACAAAATCCTCTATATACATATACGTTTTAAAACTTAAAAAGTACTGCCTGTTACTATAAAGAGTAATTAATTAGAAATAAAAAGAACTCTAAAAGCTCTAATTTCTATTTTATAACCTCTAGTTTATAAGTATTTTTTTAAAAAAAAATTTAGAAAAATAACTCTTGGAATTTCTATAAAAAAACTATGTGTAAGCTTATATTCTAAGACACAAATTATCTTTATATATGTGTAAATATAAATATATATATATATTTCATAAATACCATATAAATACCTTTTACAAATCATTTAAAAACTTTATAAAAATCTTGTAAACCTTTTCAAAACCTTATAAAAACTTTATAAATATCGTTTAGAAGCTTTTAAAACCTTATAAATATTTGGATTTTGTCTTCCAGTAGTAATAATGATCTCGATGTACCTTATCAACTATATAAAAGTTTATAATTTTTCATATTTGAAAAAGGGTATTTTTCAAAATGGATAGATAAATGAATAATTTTAAAAAATGTAGACCAAAATGGGCATTTCTTGAAAATTCTCAAAAATATAACGTTAAGTCCAACGGAAAAAAAACGATAAGGTTACCTGAACTGTTTTCCAAAAGTTCTCACTCATCATACTAAGAATAACAAGATTCATTAGATGCAAATGAGAGGGGAATTCTTCAATACATGTTTTCTCTAGAAGGAGCACTGAGATGTTGGTTGAGATCTCAGGAAAAATACTCAACCGTGAGCATCTTTGAAGGTCAAGCCTATCAAGAGATTGGAGATTGATTCCATTGGGAAGCGTATCCAGATTACTACATCCTGACATGATTAACTCCTTCAGCTTATTGAGATATTGAATAGTGGAAGGAAGTTCCACCAAACTTGAGCAATCACTAAGATCAAGTTTCTCGAGATTGGTGGCCATTGAAAGATCTGGAATTTCTTTCAAATGTATAGATTTTTTTAAATCTATCTTCTTGAGCCCTCCAAGTGTCTGAGGTAGAAGTAAGATACATACATCACTTGAAAGCAATATCATTTAAGAAGTAAACTAAGCATTCTTCTTTTATAGTTATATAATCTTGGATAATACTTACATGAACTCCTTCCCATAGCCTCTCGAGGTTGCTCCCTCGCATTTGGAGCGTAACGAGATTATCAGGACAAAAATTAGAAGGCATATACCTCCTTGGATATCCATCCAACCTCAACAACCTAAGTTTATGGGGTAAATAGTCAAAGCCTTCCGGTAAGTGCCATCTCACTTCTTTCTTTTGGTCACATTGTCTTGTTGTTAACCTTCGTTCATACCACTCCTTAGTGTAAATTTCTAGAAAAAGGAGATTACGCATCTCTTTGAAAGCACTCTCATGTATACAGAGTTCATCAATCTCATCCATATCCAATGATATACCTATTATCTTTTTGGTACCCTGAGATAATAATGAATTTCCAATATAATTTCTCAAATGACATAACTTTAATCTTACAGAACGGGATTTATGAAAAGAACACAAACAAAACTTACAGTGTTATCTTCTAGTAAATCACATATATCCTTTGAGTCCATAAGGAACTCCCTTTCTCCTGGTTCATCGGACTGTGCGCGCACGATCTCCTTACCCATTTCTTGTAGCAAAGAGTGCATCTCAACAATATCCTCTCTTACATGTATAAGAGACTTATCAACAAGGTTTTTCAACCCAATATTAACATCCAAGCCGCTGTGTGCTAATAACAACTTTATTTCATTGACATTTTTACCATTGAAAAGACATGCAATGTGACGAAATATTGCTTTATCTTTTTTGTCATTTAATCCATCGTAGCTGACTCTTAGTGTTTTCTCAATTTTTCCATCCAAACCATTTCGAAGCCTCGACAATATATCTATCAAATCCTCTTTTTCTCTACCCCTTAAATATGAGCCCAAAACCTTAAGACCCAAAGGAAGATTTCCAGCACATAACGCAACTTCAGAAGCAAGCTCCATCAAACCGTCCGGTGGAAAGTTTTGTCGAAACGTATATCTACAGAACATCTGTAGAGCAAGCTCCTGAGATGGGAGACATACCTCATAGATAAGATCAATCCTGTGAGCCCTTAAAAAATGTTTGTCTTTTGTAACCAAAATGATTCTGCTCCCACTTCCAAACCACTGAGTTTGACCGACCAAAGTATCTAGCACAACTTGATCATCCAAATCATCGATTAAGATAAGAACTTTTCGGTGTTTTAGCCTCTCTTCCACTTCACCTAAACAATCTATTCTTATGTCTTTTTTGTCTAAAATTTCAGACAAGAAATTTCTCAACAAATGCAACTTCATGTTATAGTCGTCCGGGTTAGCACTTTTGTAAATTTCCAGGCTCTTTGATACAAAAGCTCTGTCTATGAAAACGCTACCTTGGAACTGACGAGAGAGTTGGTTGTATAAAACTCTTGCAATGGAAGTCTTGCCAACTCCTGAGGTGCCCCAAATCCCAACCATCCTCACTTCCTCAGATTCCAAATCCAATAACACACTCATCTTTGCAATATGATCTTCCATTCCGACAAAGTCCTCAAAATCCTTCGATGGAGCTAAGTTTAGTTTAGCCAATATATCATTGGCAATTGCTTCAATCATTTTTGCTTCGTTAGGCCTGACAAGATTACATATCATTTATAACACACAAATTAATGATATATATATAACTAAAAAGTACTAATTGTCACATATCAATATGTACAAAAAATGATATATAAAAAAAGTTGTACCAGTTTAGAGAATGATATCCGAGAAGATTTGCTACGTCGGTCAGCGATTGCCGCCAAAGCTTGGTTTCATCTTCTGTTCTTCTCTGACAAGTCTTTGCAAAAGCCTCTCCGAATTTTCCGGTTTGTTTCCTGACATGAGATGGATCTAAACCATAGAAAACTGGTACTACCAGTTGACCTAATTCTTCCTTGCATTTCACGATTTCCAACAACTCATCCAGACACCAGCTTGAAGATGCGTACTTCTCTGAAAACATAACAACCGCAATTCTTGAAGTCCTGATCGCTTGTTTAAGCTCCGGATCGAGTGATTGGCTTCTCTCGATCTCGTTGTCTTTGAAAGAAATGATTAGTTTCCGGTTAAGTTCTTTGAGAAAGTGGCTGAGGAAAGTTATGCGGACGTCTTCCCCACTGAAGCTCGGGAAAACATCGTATACCCAATTGCGTGGTGAAAAGGAGGAAGAAGAAGCCATTAAGCTAAGAAGAAACAAAAAATCTTGCGGCTGATAGTGTTTAAGAACAATAGCTTTTAAAAGAAGTAAGAGAACGTTAGAAGTAGATTTTTTGATTTCTGTAAATTTCATGGAAAGGAGAAGGAAGCTTGCATGTACGTCGAGTCTCGTGAACCAAGTCTAACGGAGACTTTTAACTTAGGTACAAGTTGAATCCATCTGCTACAAAAGCAACGATAGCCATTGATGGATCCAAATTGTTTTTTTAATTGGGTCAATTCATATTTTCGTCGTTATTATGGAAATGAAAATGAAACCCAAAGCAAGCGTCATTAGTGGTTGGTCGTTTCATGCATGCATCATTGAAGGAAAGGGACTTAAATTAATATGATTATACTAGCTAATGATGCTTGTTTATGGTCTGTTCTCCACTATAATATAATTTGACAATAAAGAAACTTACTATAAGAGTATAATAAAATCACAAGTGGAGACAGATTCGATCAAATCCTAGATTTATGATAATTAATTAGCAAAAAGTCCTCAAAATATTATTGAATAAACTTAGCAAATTGAGTTAACAAAAGAATAATAAACTACGTACCAATACGAATACACAAGTAGTTGAATGGGTGATAAAAAAATAAAGACGACAAAACGAAACAGAGACGTTCATTTCTGTTTTTGTTTTACTTTCCTTCTGGCTAGATGTGCAGTTTAATTGATTTAGGGTTGTGAAGAAAGCGTATGGAAGACGCTACCTTTGTTTTCATTACTCTGTTTCTTATGACTTTTGTATTACGCAATTGTGTAGCATATAACCAAACTAACTTCCTCGATCTTTCCTTTTGGAATTGGAATATTAATCAAATACGATCTTTGTCATATAAATAAATGAAATTCCCACATGACATAGCAATCTGGTTTTATCGAATTCTCTGTTAAACTAAACCTATCTAATACAATAAAAGCCAAAGAGTAAAAATGAGTGCATTCCAAAAAGAAACATCCTTATAAAGACATTAATGGATCTGCACCCAACTTGGAACATAAGAGTACACAAGTGGCCAAAATGTTGTAGATTCTCCCACATGCACTTCGTTGTAGTTACCATTCTCTCCAATCATGTAAGCTGCGAAGTTGGCTATTTGTTCTTTGTCTCTACAATAAATCACTGCTAATTTCTTCTTCTCGTCGAGGAAGAAACTCAAATATATATTCCCCAGTCTATCACTGAAAACTTTTCTATCAAGTTTCAAAAAGTAGCTCCAAGACACCGAGTTGGGCTCAATTTTAGTTGTTATCCATATCTCCATTTCATTTGCATTACGCCTCTTTAATACACATTGTAAGCTTCTCTCCTCTAACAGAAGATAGAGTCACAACATCTTGAGAATGATATTCAAATGGCAGATGCAGATGCGATCCAAAACTCTCTTTCGTAAAATCAAAGCAAATTAAAACATTTGACAGCCTTCTTCTTCCCCGTCGTTCCTCAGCAACAAAGTAAGTATTTCCCTTCACGGACACGCCCCCACAACAATTGTTTGGCCTATGCCACTCGGGAGTTACCACCTCAAGAACCTTCCATATATTACATTTGAGATCGAAGATCTCTAACTCAACCATTCGTTCATTAGTATCATAATCGTAATAATTTAAAAACCTAAAGATTTTTTGGTTACTATTGTTGTCGTATCGGAGACCATACTTATCAAACAAGTTGTAGTTACTTGTGGGTTTGATCCACCTTGTTTGTCCCAAATAAGGATTCCAAATCAGAGGTTATTGCTGTCCTTGGTGAAGGATAACAACAAGCCATCGCAGTGAGAGACTTGAACAAATGAATTACGTACATATCTCCTTTACAGATGGATCTACCAAGTATTTGTTGTTATGGATTCTGTGGTGATTGACGCTCATCGAACAAGCCCTAAAATCATTTAACATGATCACCAGAATCCCCTCGGCTGCTTTACCACAATGCTTCTTTGAAAAACTCGGATCTTTGGATAATTCGTTCCATCGTTTGCAAGTAGATCTCATTGCTCTCAGAGATGTTGTTGGAACCCTAGAGAGTATCTCCTCTAACAAATCCTGGATAAGATCGGACATCATCGTCATTGTATCAAATAAAAAATTAGGGTTTCAGAATATTAACTCTCGCCTATACCACTCTTTTTATTAACAAATAAGTTAAGTTTAAAATATAAATCTATCTACTAAAAATATTGATGCAACTCTAGATTACCATATTTAAACTATATATATGGTTTGCTACCAGAATCTATACTATTAAAAGGGAAGCATTTTGTATAAAGTGAGCATAGTATATACAATTAGAAGGATAACTAAAAAAATGGGAAATTTTTTTTAAAAAAATTATCTTTATTTATGGAAATATTATTGACAATTAAATTCGAAATTAAACATATTCAAACATATTTAATCTAAATAATATTCTTTTGTGATATTTTCAAAAACAATAATTTATGTTTATAAACTATAATAAAAAGCTATCATATATTTTAGAAAAAGAAGATGATATTTTAGGAAAAATAAAAAGAAAAAAATTTATGTTAGATTAGGAAATAAGCGACTAATCAAATTCTATATAGCATACAATGTGGAGAAATATACAACATAGTTAATAATATCATCAAATTTTTCAAAATTAAATAATCTTAGAAACTAATTACATTTTATGTAAACCCAAATTTGTAGTCAAACACCCTTAAAAACATATTTATTCAATATTGTTTTTAAAAAATTTGGATCTTTAAATTGTCAAAATCTTATGTTTGGATCTTCCCAACTAATTTCCTGCAAAAAAAAAATCAATATAAAGAAAAATCTGTTAAAAAACAAAATCTTTATTAATTAGCACATACTATATAACAGCTCAATCAATAAAATACTAACCATATTTGAGATCTTTTAAATATTTAGCAATACAAAACTTCATAATCTGAATCTTAACAGATACGATTTTAAATGTATTAACCATATTTTGAATTGTTTAAATATAAATTAATTAACCATGTTTACTTATCAAATGTGCACACAATATTAATTAATATCACCTAAAATATAGATATTTCTAATTAAAAAAATAACGTAATTATAGGAACAAAAAAAATTATGAATGCAATTAAAGAACACCGTTAAAGGTAGTCCATAATTGTAATTATTTTTACCTCAAAATAATATATGGTTTAACACTTATAAGCCAAAAAATGGGTAGTAATATTTGAACTATCAAAAATTCACTAATTTGGTAAGAGTCAACTTTGGAACGTTTAAGTCTCTACGTTAGGACAATTATTTTATAATTTGTAAGTATATTTCTTTGATAGCATGTAAATTGGGTTATTTATAAACAAATCTTATCTTATTGGAAATAATGGGTACGAGACGGGAGCGGGTAATTCGAAAAAATAAAATATTACCCAAACTATTTTTCATAAAAAACATGATGAGAAATGAGGAGATCATAAATTCAAGAAAATATATTCAATTTCAATTTTCAAATATCAAATAACATGTATGATACATGAACATGAAATTTGAATTATTAAATTTAGTTTTAACTTGTCAATTTTATTTCAAATATCGGAACATGAAATAAAAGGTACGGGTTATTTGAAACATAAAAAATATCATCTAAACTATTCATTATAGAATATGGGACAAAACTTTTGGGTAACATGAATTTAAGAAGAACATATGGAGACATACTATTTACTAATGTATATTACAAGAAAATTTATTTTTTGCGGGTCAAAATATTTTAATCCGTATTGGGTTAAAAATATTTTTAGTGTGGAACATGCATGAATATATCTACAAATACAAACTTCATGAAAGCAAACCAATATTAGTTTATGTTATAAATGATATAGCGAATAAATATATCTACAAATACAACCCTACATTTATGTGTAAGTCTAAATCGTTGACCTATTTTCTTATTTGGTTGACTAAATTATACAGTGTCAAATGGGTAAATAATTAAAATGTTTATATGATGGAAAAACATGACATATTAAGACGCATGGGACACGACTTATGTCCCAAAATTAAAACTATAGATCTTTACTATTTTTTAATGTAGAACTGTCTTTAGTAAAACCAAATCGTATCGTTCTTTTTGTTTAACCTAATTTTTTTTTAAATCAAATATTGAATTGGTACTGATTTAGATTATAAATGTTAATAACATTCCTAAAAGTTACGTTTACAAACATACTCCCGTATATACATAATATATTTCAAAATTTAATAACAAATTTTGTTTTCGAAAGCAATCATAAAATCAAGAAACTAAGTTCAATTTCAATTTTCAAATATCAAATAACATGTATGATACATGAACATGAAATTTGAATTTTTATATTTAGTTTTAATTATTCAACTTTATTCCAAATATTGGAATATGAAATAACATGTACGGGTTATTTGAAACATAAAAAATATCATCTAAACTATTCCTGATAGAATATAGGGACACAAATTTTGGGTAACGTGAATTTAAGAATAACATATGCGAACATATTATTTACTAATGTGGATTACAGAAAATGTATTGGGTTAAAAATATTTTTAGTGTGGAACATGCATAGCGGACATGTTTGATCCAATTGACAAATATATTTAGTCCATCAGGGATCAGATGTTTTTATTATTATTATTGTTTTTATTATGTTTGATAGCTCACAGTTCACACTCAATCTGGGTCTGGGTCTGCTATCATGTCGATCCAACATTCACAAACTTTATGAAAACAAACCAATATTAGTTTATGTTATAAATGATATAGAGAATATATATATCTAAAAAAAACCTTATATTTATGTGTAAGTCTAAATCGTTGACCTATTTTCTTATATGTTTGACTAAAATATACACTCTCAAATGGGTAAATAATTAAAATGGTTATGAGATGGAAATTATGATATATTTTAGATGCACGGGAGAAAGTTTTGGTCCAAAAATTGACAAACCACATTTCTTTTACTATTTGTTTTAATGTACAGCTGTCTTTAATTAAACCAAACCGTATAACTTTTTTTTGTTTAACCTAATAAAAAAAATATTGAATTGGTACGGGTTTGATTATAAATGTTAATAACATTCCTAAAAGTTACGGTTACAAATATAATCATGTATGTAAGTAATATATGTCAAAATCTAATACCAAATTTTAGATTTGAAATCAATCCCGCACGTACGTGCGGCTCCGAATCTAGTCAACCTATTAAAATCACTCATTCATAAGATTACTCATATTGAAATGGAAGTCCAAAATTACTCTAGTGATCAAAATAGATAGTGGAGGGCATTGTATAAAATCACATATTGAAACCAACTCTTTGAATCGGTGGCACAAAGCTATTGTAAGGATTCCTAATTAAGATGCTCCTACGCCCTATGGAACTATAATGAGATGGTTTAGGAGTGTTTTGGGTCACCTGAAAATGTCGCTCTATAGCTAGAGCCATGGCACGTACGAGGTGTCTTGAGTGGTCCTTCATGTGATCTGCAAACAAAATAAATCCAATGATCAAAACAAATTAATTGAAAGATTAATATGTAACTATTCAGTACATGCATAATGCTTACCCGCATTCGCTTCCTGCTTGTCTCTGTCTCTACATTACTACTGTCTACAGACTCTTCATCGTCTTCAGTCTGATGATTAACTATACTGTCTTCATCAGCTTCACAAACATGTGGAAGAGTGTCTGAATTACCAAGTTGGTTCTCCGCTGATGACCAGTCCTCTAAAAGCCGTACACCCCATCCTTTTAATATAGGCGTAGATTCACGATGATTACTTACATGAATCTTCACATCTACGAAATTGTGGCTCAGTTGACCTAGCTGTACATCATCTTTGTTTAGAGGGATACGACAATCAAATATAAACAGATGACTATCCTTCTTAGTCGTCGCGAAGTGATGTAGCAAACAACATGAATCAACGCTGTTCCCAAATCTGTCTTTGAACCGACATGTTACATGTATATATAACCCATTGACACCAAATTTAGGCACTGGAGTGTCGAAAATAGCCACTGCGCAAACCCTATATCTGAAGAATGGTTGAGAGAGGTGTGTGGCAAGTAGAGGGATATTGGTGAGAGAGGTGCAGGTTCCAGTAGTACGGTGGGTGAAATATGATGGCACTTCTTCACCTGACATCTTGAGAGTGTTAAAGGCAATTGATGGCTGGTGAAGGATAGCTTCTGGATCCAAATTTAAGCATGTGAAATTGAACCCGATGTTTTTCAAATAGTTATCCGGGAGAGAAGAGAAAGCCTCGTGAGGGACTGGAAACTTGGAGAGAAAATCGTCACTTGGACTATCATTAATCCAGCTAGCTTCACCCAACGCCCAACAGTCTGAAAAGTTAACCATAACATGTTTCAGTTTAAAAATGTTTAGGGATACACGTATTAAATTTTTGCAGCTCTCCATATTTAGGTTCTCGAGCTTAGAGAAGTTCTCGATCCACCGAGGAACTTCGTTTATCCCTGTTCGTGCTAGAAAGAGATAGGAGATGTTGGTTGAGATATTAGGAAAAGTCCTCAACCGTGAGCATCCCCGGAGATCAAGTATATAGAGAGATTGAAAGTTGATTCCGGTGGGAAGAATTTCCAGATTTATGCAATCTCTAATTGTCAATTGATCAAGCTTAGTGAAACTTCCAATAGAAGAAGGAAGCTCAACCAAACTTGGAATATCCGAGAGATGCAATCTCGTCAAAGTGGGAGAAAGCATGGCCATGAGAGGTCTAAGTGGCTGATGAACCCAAAGAAGAGAAAAACAAAAACAAAATTTTAGACAATTTAAATGTAATGAACTCAAATGTGAGTTAAAAGCGTTATGTTAAATATAATACCTGCTCTCTTTCCCACAATTTCCCACTCTTAATTTTCAGCATGCTAAGATTATCAAGTTTCTTCAGACACAAGTTATAGGGGAATTCTTCAATGGCTGTTTCGTCTAGATTGAGGCATACGATGTTGGTTGTAACATCAGGAAAAATCATCAACTCTGAGCATTTACTGAGATCAAGGCTATTAAGAGATTGGAGGTTAACTAAAGTGGGAAGAGTCTTCACATTACTGCATCCAGACATATCCAACTTCTTTAGCTTATTGAGATATTGAATAGAGGAAACCTCCACCAAACTTGAACAACCGCAAAGATCCAATGTCTCTAGATTGGTTGCCTTTGAAAGATCTGGGATTTCTTTCAGAGTTTTTGATCCCCGCAAATCCATAACTTTGAGGCATGTAAGCGGCTGAACAAAGATAATCAGATTATCATATTTAAATACACATCAATAATGGGAAATATATAACATAGACCTCTCACTCTTTAGTCTTTACCTTAACTCCTTCCCATAGTTTCTCAAGTATCATGATATTGGGCATTCTGAGTTCAACCAGACTTCCCGGACGAAAATTTGTAGGCATGTGTTTCATCGGATACCTTGGCCAACTCAATAACTTGAGTTTACGAGGAAAATAATCAAATCTTTCCGGTAATTCCAATTCAACTTCTTTTTCCCGATCCCATGAACCACTAAAGATCCTTAGAAAACGGAGATTGGGCATCCCTTTGAATGCTTTCTCATCTATCCTCAATTCATCGATCTCATTCATATCCAATGATATACCTAAAACGTTTTTAGTACCCTGAAAATATATGAATCAGTAATTATCTATAAGACTAACTTGTGATCTTATAAAAAGAGTTGTAGAAGGAGAAACAAAAAATCTTACAGTGTTATCTTCAAGTACACTACATACATCCTTTGAATTTATTAGGAATTCGCGTTGTCCAGGCTCATCAGACTGTGCACAAACGATTTCTTTACCCATTTGTTCCACCAAACAGTGCATATCAGCGATATTAATACTCCCTAATGGTTTTACACTTATGAGGGACTTGTTAACTAGGTTCGTAAGACCTAGGCTGACATCCAACTCACTATCGGCAAGCATCGATTTGAATCTATTGATTTCCACTCTGTTGAAAAAACACGCGATGTGACGAAATATAGCTTTATCTTCCCGGCTATCTATATCATCGTAACTGACTCTTAGTGTTTTTTCAATATCTCCGTTCAGAGTTTTTCGAAGCCTCGACAACATATCCATCCAGTCCTCCTTGTTCCGCCTTTTCATAACTTTACCTAGAATCTCAAGACCCAAAGGAAGACCACCAGCACGAGCTGCAACTTCAGTAGTGAGCTCCATGAAACCATCAGGAGGAGACTTTTGCTCAAAAGCTGATCGACAAAACATCTCAAGAGCTTGCTTTTCAGATGGCAAACCAACCCTGTAAATATAATCAATCCCATGAGCCTCTAGAAGACGCTTATCTTTTGTAATCACAATGATTCTGCTCCCAGGACCAAACCATTCATCTCTGCCCGCCAAGGCATCCAACACCACTTGATCATCCAAGTCATCAATAAAGACAACAACTTTCATATGGTTTAGCTTCTCTCTCACGGCACCCAAGTGATCTACCTTAATGCCCTCTATATTTAATAATTCAGAGAGGAAACTCTGTTGCAAGTGCAACCTCATGTTATAGTCTATCGGGTTCCCTTTAATGTAATCCTCTTTACTCTTAGATATGAAACCCCTGTCTATGTAAATCCTACCTTGGAAGTGTCGAGAGATTTGGTTATACAAAACTCTTGCAATGGTAGTTTTGCCAATTCCTGAAGTTCCCCATATCCCAACCATCCTCACTTCCATAGATTCCAAGGCCAATATTGAACTCATCTCTGCGATATGGTCTTCTATCCCGACAAAGTTCTCGAAATCCTTAGATGGAGTTACATTCAGTTTCCTTAAAATATCAGTGATGATATCTTCAACCAGTTTTGCTTCATTTTCCCTGAAAATAATGATAAAAAAAAAAACAAGCAACAATTAGGGATACACATTTTAGGTAGATTTGGGTTTAGTTTTTTTAAAAATCTAATGTGTTGCCAAGATTTTACAAAATTGGTTTTCCTAAAAATTAGGAAATCACTTTTTAAGAAGATTTTACCCATTCATGGCCTTAGTGTCAGATATGAATATAGATTCAAGTTAAAACAAACAAAAGTAATGATTAAGTAAAGACTTACCAGTTCTGAGAGTGAAACCCGCCGAGATTTGCTACATCAGTCAGGGCTTGCCGCCATGATCCTATAACATGCTCTGTTTTGTTGTGGCATGTCTCTTCAAAAAACTTTCCAAAATCTCCGGTCTGTTTCCGGACATGGGAAGGATCCAAATCGTGGAAAACTGGTATCACAAGTTGACCAAGCTTTTCTTTGCAATACATGATCTTCAGCAACTCGTTAAGGCACCAGCTAGAAGATGCATATTTTTGAGATAACACAACCACAGCGATCCTCGAGTCCTTTATGGCCTGTTCAAGAACAGGACTTAGGGATTGACTTTTCTCCATCTCCATATCTTTGAAAACGCTGATCAGCTTACGGTCTAGCTCCTTCAGAAAATGGCTGAGGAATGTTTGGCGAACATCTTCCCCTCTGAAGCTCGGGAAGACATCATATCGCCAGTTGCGATACAAGGAGGATGAAGAAGACATGAATAAGGAAAATATCCAGAGAAAGCAAGGAACGATCTTAGTTTCGGGTAAAGAAGTACAGATCTAGAGAAGAAACTAAAGACTCATCGTCGTCTTCCTCGTCATAGTTGTGATAATAAGGCTAATTCACATTTCACACAGCATTTAACAAGTAGCCACAAAGTTTTTTGTTTTTCTTTTTAATATATTTTAAACAGTACTTATCACCTTCCATGACTTTTTTGAGGACTTTTTGTAAAGCAAAGATCATACTATACTATAGGATTTAAATTATGTTTTTATTTGGAAATTTATCAGCAATGTTTCATCAGCTGATTAAAGTAAGAATTGACAACAAAGATGATTATATTAATTCCAATCCCTATTTTTCCACAAAATGTCTTCTCTCTTTTCAGATACAAAAATCCAAAAACACTCACATATGATCTTATCAACAACTATCCCTAACCTACCTGCTCTAGTTTAAAACATTATGCATAAAATATAAAAACTGTTGTTAAGGGCATTGATTGGTAACGCATAATATCATAATAGCGTTTTCTAATGTGATGCACTGATTGGTAACAATCAAAGCTATATGCTATGAATTTCTACATTTTCTCGTAGGATTAAGATTTATTATCCTTAACAACTTTTTAGATTTATGCATAATACTTTAAACCAGACCAAGTAGGTTAGCCATAGTTGTTGATAAGATCATATGTGAGTGTTTTTGGATTTTTGTATCTGAAAAGAGAGAAGACATTTCGTGGAAGAATAGGGGATTGGAATTAGTATAATTATCTTTGTTGTCAATTCTTACTTTAATCATATGATGAAACATTGTTGATAAATTTCTTTAAAGAAAAAATCATTAAAATATTATAGTATAATATTATCTTTGCTTTAAAAAAAGTCCTCAAAAGGTCATGTAAGATGATAAGTACTGTTTAAAATAAATTAAAAACATAAACAAAGAAACTTTGGCTCCTTATTCTATCATTTATGCTTCGGCTTCATCTTCACTAGCCGAAGGAAGCGTGTGTAAGAAGGTACTTTTTTTTCTTACTCTGTTTCTTGTGTATCACACTACAAATTTGTGTAGTATACAAATACAATAACTGATTCGAATATTCTGCACATGGCTCTAAACGATACATAATTTACAAGCTCACCAATCAAATACAAGTAGTTGACTACACTTTCGTGAAGTACTCTGACGAATCATCGGAGTCAAAATGGTTTCCGAGTCTGTTTATGAACTGACAACATATATGGATACTGAATAAATTATATAATCTATGGAGATAGATTCAGCTTAAACCACTGCACAAGCCTTTGATTTTACGAACTGTTGAGAGAGTAGGTTGAGAATTTTTACACACAGCGTCACAATTTCAATAATAAAACAATATATAACTTGATGGTATACCTTAATTAAAGGGACATCCCATGTTCTTCCTCAGTAATCTGCAAAAAAAGAAACAGGATCACGAAATATAGTTTTTTAGTGACCTTGAAAACGAGTTGTGAGATATGAAGTATTATGTTTTCAGTACATGCTTAATGCTTACCCGGACACGCTTCTTGCTTCTCTCTGTTTCTTCATAATTGTCTCCAGATTCTTCGCTATGTTCAGTCTCATTAATCATCATATTGTCTTCATCAGCTTCACAAACATCTGGAAGAGTAGTTCCATCACTAAGTCGGTTCTCTAGCGACGAAGAATCATCAGAGAGTCGTATACCCCATTCTATTAACTCGGACGTTGAGTCATCCCAGTTACTAAAAAGAAACTCTACATCAACGTGGTCGTAGCTCACTTCAGGTAGGGAAGCATTGTCTTCGTTTAGAGGGAAAGAGCACTCGAATATAACAAGGTGGATACACTTGTGACGTCTATATAACTTAACTTGATAAGGGAAAGGAGAATGGTTCTCAAGTCTACCTTTGAACCGACAAGATATATGGATGCCAATTGTAAAACAATCATGGCACAGAGAAGTTTTGAGATCAACTACGGCGCAAACCTTGAACCTGAAGAAGGGATGAGAGGGAGAGGAGTGAAGCAGAGGGATATTGGTGAAGGATGTCCCAGTAGTGCGGTAAGTGAAATAGGACGGCACTTCTTCACCTGACAATATCAGGAACTTGTGACGATTTGGATGATCAAAGGTAAGTTCTTGATCCACGTGGAAGTTGAAGCAGTTGATTAAATTGTCCGGAAAAGGAAAGTGAATATTGTCTGCTGACATTGTTGAGCTATCATTCCAGGTAGCTTCAGACAGCGCCCCGCAGTCCGGGAATTCAACTGAATTAAGAAGATTTAGTTTAGAAATGTGTAGGGATACACATTTTAGTTTCTTGCATCCACTCATCCATAGCCGTTCGAGCTTAGAGAATTTCTCAATCCACCAAGGAACCTCTTCAATCCCTGTTCTCTCTAGATAGAGATCGTTGATGTTGGTTGAGAAATCAGGAAAAGTCCTCAACCGTGAGCATCCACTGAGATCAAGTTCAAAAAGAAATGGGAAGTTGATGCAAGTGGGGAGAGTCTCCAGATATATGCAATTTCTAACTCCCAAACGTCCAAGTTTAGTGAAATTATGAATAGAGGCAGGAAGCTCCACCAAACTTTGGATACCCTCAAGATGCAGACACACTAAAGAGTGAGGCATCATGATCATGAGAGGTGCAAGTGGCTGAACCCAAAAAAAAAAATCCAATTTTAGATGAAACTATATATTTATGTTTTGTTGCATATTTTAAGATATGGTGGAGGGGAATATATAAATGATTAATTAAAAGTAAAACATATTTCTTTCATTGAGTATGCTGAGACAACTGGAACAGAAAGTGGCTCTCAGTGTTAAGAATATATAAGGTTAAGTAGATACCTGAATTCTTCCGAATATTTTCGAACTCTTCATTTTACGCATGCTAAGATGATGAAGCTTCTCTAAACGCAAGTCAGAGGGGATTGTCTCAATCTCTGTCTCACTTAATAAGAGCCATGAGATGTTGGTTGAGATATCAGGAAAAATTTTCAATCTGGAGCATCCACTGAGGTCAAGCCTAAAAAGAGATTGAAGGTTGATTCCTGTTGGAAGAGTCTCCAGATTTTCACAATTTCCCATCTCCAATCTCTCTAATTTATTAAGATGCATAACTGAAGAAGGAAGCTCCACCAAACTTGAGCAACCACATAGATCAAGTTTCTCGAGATTGGTGGCCATAGAAAGATTTGGTATTTCTTTTAGACTTATAGATCCCTGCAAATCTAAGACCTTGAGCCCTCCAAGTGACTGAAATATAAGAAGATATATATTACTTAAAAGGCAAGTCAACCAAAAATCAAAAATGAAACATCCTGACATGAATATCCATAGTAAAGATGCTATAATTTGTATAAATCTTACATGAATTCCATCCCATAACCTCTCGAGTTTGCTCCCCGACATTTGCAGCTTAACGAGATTTTCGGTCTGAAACTTAGAAGGCATATATCTCATAGGATATCCATCCAACCTTAATAGTCTAAGTTTGTGGGGCAAGTAGTTAAAGCCTTCCGGTAAGTGCCATTTCACCTCTGTCTTCTTATCCCATTTCTTGGTATAAACTTTTAGAAAAAGAAGATTGCGCATGCCTTTGAAGGCATTCTCATGTATATGCAATTCATCAATCTCATCCATATCCAATGTTATACCTAAAACTTTTTTGGTACCCTGTAATAATAATTTGAATATAATTCATATATGACATGATTAGAGTACGTAAGATACTATACGAAATAGAGCACGGCAAAACTTACAGTGTTATCTTCAAGTAAATCACATATATCTTTTGCATCCATAAGGAATTCTCGTTCTCCAGGCTCATTAGACTGTGCACGGACGATCTCCTTACCCATTTCTTGTAGTAAAGAGTGCATCTCAACAGTTTCGTCTCGTACTTGTATGAGAGACTTATCGACAAGGTTTTTCAACCCGATATCAACATCCAAGCCACTGCCTACTAGTAGCATTTTGATGTTATTGACATTTTCACCATTGAAAAGACATGCAATGTGACGAAATATCGCTTTATCTTTTTGGTTATCTAATCCGTTGTAGCTGACCCGTAGTGTCTTCTCAATTTTACCATCCAGACCATTTTGAAGTCTTGGCAGCATATCAATCAAGTCCTCTTCGTCTCTACCCCGTAAATACGATCCCAAAACCTTAAGACCCAAAGGAAGATTACCTGCACACAATGCAATTTCAGAAGCAAGCTCCATCAAACCATCAGGTGGAGAGGTTTTTCCAAAAGCAGATCTACAGAATATCTTAAGCGCAAGCTCCTTAGATGGGAGACAGACTTCATAAATATGATTAATCTTATGGCCCCTTAAAAATTGTTTATCTTTTGTAATCACAATTATTCTGCTCCCACGTCCAAACCACTGAGTTTGACCAGCTAAAGTATCTAGCACCATTTGATCATCTATATCATCAATAAAGATAAGCACTTTCCGGTTATTTAGCATCTCTCCCATTGCACCTAAATGACTTATCCTTATGTCCTTTATGTCTAAAATTTTAGACAAGAAACTGCTTACCAAATACAGCTTCATATTATAATCGTCCGGGTTGGCACTATCATACATACTCGTATTCTTAGATACAAATGCTCTGTCTATGAAAACACTTCCTTGGAACCGACGAGAGAGTTGATTATACAAAGCTCTTGCAATGGAAGTCTTGCCAATTCCTGAGGAGCCCCATATCCCAACCATCCGCACTTCCTCAGATTCCAAATGCAATAGTACACTCATCTTTGCAATATGATCTTCCATTCCAACAAAGTCCTCAAAATCTTTTGATGGAGAGAAACTCAATTTCCCCAAGACATTATTGGCAATTGCTTCAATCATTTCTGCTTCACTAGGCCTAGCAATATTTAAGAAAACCATTTATAACACATTACACAATAAGTATCAATTGTTACATGTCAAGGTCTATAAATATGTAAAAAAGGTTTACCAGTTTCGAGAATGATATCCAAGGACGTTTGCTACATCGGTCAACGATTGCCGCCAAAGTTTTGTTTCATCCTCTGTTTTTCTCTGACAAGTATTTGCAAAAGCCTCTCCGAATTTACCGGTTTGTTTCCTGACATGAGATGGATCTAAACCGTAGAAAACCGGTATAACCATTTGACCCAATTCTTCCTTACATTTCACGATCTCCAGCAACTCATCCAGGCACCAGCTTGATGATGCGTACTTGTCTGAAAACACAACCACCGCGATCTTTGAAGTCCTGATCGCTTGTTTAAGCTCAGGATCCAGCGACTGGCTTCTCTCGATCTCGCTGTCTTTGAAAGCAATGATTAATTTCCGATCAAGTTCTTTAAGAAAATGGCTGAGGAAAGTAACGCGGACGTCTTCCCCACTGAAGCTAGGGAAAACATCGTATACCCAATTGCATGAAGAGGAAGAAGAAAGAGCCATCAAGATAGAAAATGTTTCAAGAAACACTTAGAGATGTATATGTGAATTTTTTATATGGAAAGGAGAAGGAAGCTTATAGAGTCCCGTGACCACTTAACGGAGACTTTTTGATACCAATCGAGTCTTCTACTACGAGAGCAAAACTAGCCATTGGTGGATCCAATTTTTTTAATACATGCATGGTTGTTACATTGATTTGAAGTTATTTTGTGAGAGGAGAAGCTTAAAATAATAAGTAAGTCAAATCATGTTTTCGTCGTTATTATGGAAATAATATAGTAACCCAAAGCAACCGTCATTAGTGGTTGGGTAGTTTCATGCATGCATCGTTAAAGCAAAAGGATTTAAAATAATACCTCCTTTAATCTATTTTAAATGATATTTTTTTTATATAAAAAAACTGTTTTATTTTAAGTGATATTTTAAATATGCAAATATTTGGTGTATTTAATAAATTCTGACCAATCATATTATACATTATATTTTTTCATTGGTTATATTTATTGTATTTAATAGATTTTTTATGGAAAATGGAAAAAATATATGTTTACTTAATCTGTGTGTAATAACTTTAAATATCACTTAAAATAAAATAGAGTGAATATGATTAGTTTGTGGTCTGTTCTCAACTATTGAGTACTATTTAATTTAAAAATGAAGCATCACTTTTATTTAGAAAATCCTACTAAAGAATTACAAGTGGAGACAGATTTGATTAATTGTTGGATATATGTTATTTTAGTTCAGCAATAAGTCCTCAAAATATTATTGAATAGACTTATCTATTGAGTTTACAAAAGAATAATAATAAACTACCACTAGCTTAGCTATACACAAATAGTCGGACGGATGGCTTCAACTTACCGGAAACAGAGGCATTCATTTCTGTTTTTGTTGTAAATCCCTTCAGCCTAGATATGCAGTCTTTTTTTTTTGTTTAGGGTTAGGAAGAAAGCTTGTGCAAGAAGCTACCCTTGTTTCATTACTCTGTTTCTTATGACTTTTGTCTTACGTTACAAGTATTGTATAGCATATACACCAATCTGATTTTATAAAATTTTCTGTTAAATTGAACCTAACACAGGCAGAGATAATACAAATCATAACTCATTCTAGCTTAAAAGACTCATTCTTGCCCCTGTTTTGTTAATTTCTTGCCTTCTCCATGTGTCTCTCTCTACATTGCTGTCTCCAAACTCACGGCCTGGAAAAATACGTTCTCATCAACAATTTATTATCTTGAGGAGCAAAAATAAACTGAACAGCTCTTTGGACAGTAGAAGAGTACTCTATTGAATCATTATTTTATAACTTAAATGCTTCTGTACATGTCTATTTATTACCTTTAAACTCTCTACATGTCCTCCTTGTCTGCTTCTGTTCCATTGTAACTGGAAATAGCTATTCATTTCAATATTCAAATTTCAAAGTAATGTCTTGTATATATTCAATATCCAGACTTTGGAGGCAGGGTAACTACAAAAGAGGTTTCACAAGTGGTCCTGTCACACAATCTGCAAAAGAAATAAATTTAGTGATCTGTTATATGAAAATAGTATTTGATTGATCCTACAAAAAGGGTTAGGAGATATATAACTTGTATCTGTTATAACTCATGCTTAATGCTTACCCGCATTCGCTTCTTGCTTCTCTCTGTCTCGACATTGCTGTCTACAGACTCTTCACTGCGTTCAGTCTCATACCCCATATTGTGCTCTTCGGCTTCACAAACATATTGTGGAAGATTGTTTGGATTCTCTGGTGATGAACAGTCCTCTAAGAGTCGTATACCCCATCCTTTTAACATGAAGTTAGAGATAGGGGCTTTTGGTCCCTCTAAATATATACGTGTATTACCTAAATGGATCTGTATATCCACATGCTCGTAGTTCAGTTGAGCTAGAGGAGCACTTGTATCTTTGTTTAGAGGGATACAACATCCGAATATAAGCAGATGGCTATCCTTCATAGGTACCCAAAACCGTTGTGGCTCACCAACTGAATCAAAGCTGTTTTCAAATCGGCCTTTGAACCGACAGTTTACTTGGATATCTACTCCATTGGAACCAAATCTTGGCGCAGAGTTGGAAACCACTGCGCAAACCCTGAATATAAAGACTTGTTGAGAGGGAGCTCTCTCAAGCAGAGGGATATTGGTGAGAGAGGTCCCAGTAGTACAGCAGTGAGTGAAGTATGAAGGCACTTCTTCACCTGGCAATTGTATGGACTTGTAGAAAACTGATTCTTGCTGAAGTAAAGCTTCTTGATCTAAGTTGAAGCAGTTGTTAAATTTGAAAGAGGCTTTGCGCATTGCCAATGGCAACGCGTTTGGAATATCATTCAAGGTAGCTTCAGTCAATGCCCAACAGTCTGAAAACTCAACCTCCTTAATATGTTCGAGTTTAGATAGTTCTATGGAAACACTTTGTAAGTTGTTGCATCCATTCAACAACAGATGCTCGAGACTAGAGTATTTCTCGATCCACCAAGGTACCTCATGGATCGCTGTTCTACTTAGATCAAGCCATGAGATGTTGGTTGAGATATCAGGAAATGTCTTCAACTTTGAGCATCCTTTAAAATCAAGAGATGTAAGGCATTCAAGCTTGAGTTCCATGGGAATAATCTCTAGATTTTTGCAGTCTGTAATGCGTAAATCTTCTAGTTGATTGAGGTTCTTAAAGGAAGAAGGAAGCTCCACCAAACTTGGGATATCCGAAAGGACTAATCTCTCCAAAAAGGGAGACAGCATGGTCATGAGCTGTGTGAGTGGCTGAACCAGCAAAAAGAAAAAAACATTTTAGAGATGTTACAACTTACATTATCAAGGCATTAACTAGTACAACATATATACCTGAACTTTGTCCCACAGTTTGTCACTCATTCCCCGCATCTTTAGATCATAGAGATTCTCTAGATGCACATTACAGGGGATTTCTTCTATTCCTGTTTTGTCAATATAGAGTTTTGACATGTTGGTTGAGATGTCAGGAAACTTCCTCAACAGTGTGCAGCCTTTGAGGTTAAGTTTATAGAGAGATTCGAGGTTAACTCCGGTGGGTAAAGTCTCTAGATTCTTGCAGTAAGCCAACTGCAAATCCCTTAATCTTTGGAGATACTGAATAGAGCAAGGAAGTTCCACTAAACTTGAGCAATGGCTAAGATCAAGTTTCTCGAGGTTAATGGCCATAGAAAGATCAGGGATTTCCTTCAGGTTATGGGAGGCGTACATATCCATTTCCTTAAGCCCTATAAGTGGCTGAAGCATAAGTAAGATACACATCAATTGAAAGGATTTTCATTTTTATAAAAAAAAGAAAGTAAAACAAGGATTCTAATCCCAATACTATTTTACTAATAGCTTACATGAACTCCATCCCACAGCTTTTCGAGCTTGCTCTTCCACATTTGGAGCTTAACAAGGTTTTGAGGCTGGAATTTAGATGGCATGAATTTCAAAGGGTATTCGTCCCAATATAGTAATCTGAGCTTAGGGGAAAACTGGCCAAAACCTTCTGATAAGTGCAATGGTACTTCTTTCTCCCGACTAGAGAAAAAGTTTAGAAAAAGGAGGTTACTCATTCCTTTGAAGGCATCCCCACGTATATGCAGTTCGTCAGTCTCATCCATATTTAATGATATGCCAAGAACGTTTTTAGTACCCTGGATACAACATCAACAAAAACCATTAGCTTAACAAATGCATACAATTCATCGTTTCCTAAGTGACAATTTTTAATCTTTTCTTTCCTAAGATACATGTTCTTAGTCCTATAGAGAGTAAAAAGAAGCATGTGAAACTTACAGTGTTATTTTCAAGTACATTGCAAACATCTTTCGAATCCACCAAGAATTCACGTTCTCCAGGCTCACTGGACTGTGTGCAAACAATCTCTTTACACATTTTTTGTAGCAAACCGTGCACATCAACAGTTCCATCACTTACTTTTACAAGAGACTTATCGACCAAGTTTTTCAGCCCGATATTAACATCCAACTCACTATCAGCTAGTAGTAACTTGATATCATTGACTTCCTCACCACTAAAGAGACATGCAATGTGACGAAATATTGCTTTATCTTTTTTGTTGTTTAGCCCATCATAGCTTACTCTTAGTGTTTTTTCAATTTTTCCGTCCAAACTCTTCCGAAGCCTTGGCATCATATCCATCCAATCCTCTTCCTCCCTACCCCGCAAATATGAGCTCAAAACATTAAGACCCAAAGGAAGATTACCGGCAAGCGATGCAACTTCAGAAGCAAGCTCCATAAACCCATCAGGTGGATAGTTTTGCTTGAAAGCAGATCGACAAAACATTTCAAGAGCAAGCTGTCTAGATGGGAGATGGACCTCGTAGATATGGTTAATCCCATGTGCTCTTAAAAAATGCTTATCTGTGGTAACCACAATAATTCTGCTCCCACGCCCAAACCAATGAGTTTGACCCACCAAGGCATCTAACACAAGTTGATCATCTAAATCATCAATAATGACAAGAACTTTTTGTTGTTTTAGCCTCTCTCCCACTGCACCTAAATGATCTACTTTTACATCCTTCTTGTCTAGAATCTGAGACAGAAATTTTCCTTGCATATGCAACTTCATGTTGTAGTCGTCTGAATTGGCTCTAGGATAAATTTTCATGCTCTTACGTATGAAAGCTTTATCTATAAAAACACTACCTTGGAAGTGTCGAGAAAGTCGGCTAAACAAAGTCCTTGCAATGGTAGTTTTACCAATCCCTGAAGAACCCCATATACCAACCATTCTCACTTCCTCTGCTTCCAATTGCAACAACATACTCATTTCAGCTATATGGTCCTCAATGCCAACAAAAACCTCAGAATCCTTCGTTGTAGTTGAAAGCAGTTTACCCAAAACATCATTGGCGATCTCTTCAACCATTTTTGCTTCGTTACCCCTAACAAAAACAAAGATAATGTCACAAACATGAAAACATTTATTCAAGATAAATATATGCAATAATGATACAAAAAAAAAAAAAAAAAAAACAATACCAAGTCACAGAATGATATCCGAGGATATTAGCAACATCGGTTAAAGCTTTCTGCCACTGATTTTTCAGTTCCTCTGTTTTGTTCTTGCAAGTCTCTTGAAAGATCTTTCCAAAGTCTCCGATTTGTTTCCTCACATGTGAAGGATCCAAACCGTAGAAAATGGGAATCACAAGTTGACCAAACTCTTTCTTGCATTTCAAGATCTCCAACAACTCATTGAGACACCAACTCGAAGAAGCGTAGTTTTTAGAGAACACGACCACGGCGATTCTGGACTCCCGAATCCCATGTTTAAGTTCTGGATCGAGCGGTCGGCTTCTTCCAATCTCACTATCTTTAAAAGCAATGATCAGTTTCCGATCTAGCTCCTTGAGAAAGTGGCTTAGGAAACTTACACGGACGTCTTCACCACTGAAACTTGGGAAAACATCGTATAACCAATTGCGAGAAGAAGATGAATGAGCCATAGAGAAAGGATCAAACTTTGGCGATTGAGGTTGTGAAATGAGGGCTCACTGACGTTGCTATGAATGAAGTCTGTGCAGATTGGTGTCAGCACCATATTGTTGACTTAATAGTCCATCTTAAGTCTCTTCTGATTTGTTTATACTTTTGAATATATTTGTTTTTTTTTTTTCACCTTTTGTTACTTTTGAATAAATATTGATGTATCCCCTAAGGCCTCAAGCTTGATTAGCATTAATTAATTTTCCTCCGTGTTACGGAATAAAAATATAAACTAGAGCAAGTTGGTAGCCGTAGTGGTTGATCCATTATCCACTCACATTACCAAATTTTCAAATAAAGACACAACTCAAATCTTACTTCCTCTGTATGATCATCACATCACTCATTTTGAGTGGTTGCTTTAAGTTTCTAAATCAATATTGAAGAACCAGTGGACGATTGACAATATTCCACTTACCCAGTATGATCACAAAGTAAGGTACATGTCCAGACCACACCTTTTTGCTTCGAGAAAATTAAAAGATGTCTGTGCATTTGAAGGTGATATTTCATGATACCAAAATACGTTTAACACTAAAGTTTGAGGTTTAATGCGATCGAAACTCATGATATTATGTATGATATGAATTGTGGTAGAAAACGTAAAGGGATTAAATGATTCACCTCGAGTTAATCTACAAGGCAAATGTTCAGCACTCAAGTCCCAAAACTCTGTTTTGGCAAATGGAACATGAAAAACAAACATATGATAATGAAATGAGTTATATCAATAATCACCTTTAACTCATAATTAAGATGTGTGTTACAAGAAGATATTTTACACGCTGTGGAATGTGGATCTACATATTACAGGTTGCATCACTATTTTAGTTATCATCCTTTGTTTCGGTTATCTAAACAACCATAATGTACCTAACATTATATGAGATTCTTGGGTTACCTTATATGATATGGTCGAAGTTTCTTGAGAAGGAATATTGTAAGGGGAGGTCCTAAATGAACCTAATATAAGACATCCTCTTATGCACCTTGCGGATTGGCTGTCTAGTAATTCAGTAGTTTCTTCAGTAGTCTTCTCATCCTCATCTGCAGAAAACATCCACTCAACTATAAGGGTATTATACTTTTCTGCTTGTCCTCACAATGAATTATGGGATATTAAGAGTTAACTACATACAATTTATGCCAAATGCTTACCATCCGCATTGTAGTCGAGTGGCTCTTTCTTTCTACAATGCTATCTCCACAAACACCTGGGGGAATATTTGGATTACAAGGTTGGTAATCCAGAGGTCGGCTATCCAGGGATGGACCGTCTTTGGAAAGTAGAACACCACATTCTTTTAATTTGAGCTGAGAGTTGTCACTCATGAGACGAAACTGTATATCCACATGATCGTACCTAAACTGATTGGCCAGAAAGGTATTATCTTTGTTTAAGGGAAAATAACAGTCAAAGATAACCAGATGAGCACCCAACTTCGTTGTTATGAAGTATCCTGGAAAATCAGTAGAATCAAAGTCGTTCCCCAGTCTGTCTTTGAACCGACAACATACTTCGATGTCGAATGAAACAGAGATTTTGGAAAAAGATTCCACATCAATCACGATGCAACCCCTAAAGCTGAAGAATGATTGGGAGGGAGAGGTGTGTGGCAGAGAGATAGAGGTCCCAGTAGTACGGTGAGTGAAATATGAAGGCACTTCTTCACCTGATAGTATCAGTTGCATGAAAAATGTTTGGTTTTGAATAAGAGCCTTTAGATCTAAGTTGAAGCAGTTGATGAAGTTGAGCTTGACCAATGAGAAATAATCAGGTGGAAGAGACTTGGCCATGTCACTTGAACTACCATTCCAACTAGCTTCAATCAATGCCCCACAGTCTGAAAAGTCAGCTCTCTCAAGAAGTTTCAGTTTAGAAATGTTTGGAGATACACATAGTAAATTTCTGCATCCATTCATATCTAGGGTACAGAGGAGAGAAAATTTCTCAATCCACGACGGAACCTCTTCAATCGCTGTGTAGCTTAGATTGAGATCTGAGATGCTGGTCGAGATATCAGGAAAAGTCCGCAACTGAGAACAATGAGAGAGATCAATTGTAATGAGAGATTCGAGGTTTATTCCAGTAGGAAGAGTCACCAGATTTCTGCAGTTCATAATTTCCAAATGCTCAAGTTGATTGAGATTCTGGATTGAAGAAGGAACCTCCACCAAACTTGGGTTGTTCGAAAAAGTCAACCTCGTCAAAGTGGGAGAAAGTATGGTCATGAGAGGTGTACGCTGCTAAACAAAAAAAAAAAGCAAAGGAAAGACAATTTAGTGATGTTAAAACTCATTTACAAACTGTAGCTTTTAAGTTTAACACTCCAGTTAAATATCCAAACATAAATCATTTTCTATTGACAACAAAATTCCATGATAAATTTGCATCCTTTAATTGTTGTTTCATTATGAATTTACATCGACCTGTACTAATATTTCAATTAGGAAATAGATACCTATTTAATACTCACCAGGGATACACAATTTAATTAATTTCTTCATCAAAGATATATTTTCACAGCATTCAAGAAATTCAACCAAGCTTGAGAAAATATTAGCAAAGGTACATACCTGCACTCTTTCCCACAATATAAGCTCATCGAGGTTCTCTACATGCAAGTTAGAGGGAATTTCCTTACTCGATGTTTGACCTATATCATCTAACCATGAGATGTTGGTTGATATATCAAGAAAACTTTTCAACCGTGAGCATCCACTGAGATTGAGACGATAGAGAGATTTGAGGTTGAATCCAGTGGGAAGAGACTCCAAATGATCGCAATATGAAATGTCCAAATCATTCAGCTTATTCAGGTACTGTATAGAGGCGGGAAGTTCCACCAAACTCGAGCAACTGCTGAGTTTAAGTGTCTCAAGATTAGTGGCCATGGAAAGATCTGGGATTTCTTTCAGGTTTTTGGATCCCCGCAAATCCATATTCCTGAGCCCTGCAAGTGACTAAAGTATATGTACCTAAATTACACATTACTTGAAAGGATGGCCATCCAAAAGGCAAAACAGGCATTCAAAACTAGATATTAATTCTAGTACTACTAAAAACTTACATGAACTCCTTCCCACAGCTTCTCGAGTTTGCTCTGCTGCATTTGAAGCTTAACCAGGTTTCCAGGTTGAAAGTTAGAAGGAAGATATTTCAATGGGTATCTGTCCAACCTCAATAATCTAAGTTTAGGGGGCAAATAGTCGAAGCATTCTGGTAATTGCCATCTAACTTCTTTCTTCTGGTCCAACTTCTTAGAATAAATTTTTAGAAAGAGGAGATTGTGCATTCCTTTGAAGGAACTCTCATGTACATGCAGTTCATCAGTCTCATCTATTTCCAATGCTATACCTAAAACCTTCTTTGTACCCTAAAATTATAATAATAAATATGAGAGAAAACCAAATAAATGACATTCATTAATCATATAGAGTAAAATTTATGCAGGAAAAACTTACAGTGTTATCTTCAAGTACATCGGAAATATCCTTCCAATCCACAAGGAATTCTCGTTCTCCAGGCTCATTGGACTGAGTACGGACAATCTCTTTTCCCATTTCTTGTAATGAAGAGTGCATCTCCACAATATTGAATCTTTCACAGATGAGGGATCTATCAACGAGGTTTTCGAGCCCGATATTAACATCCAAATTACTAGTTGCTAGTAACACTTTGATGTCACTGACTTTCTCACCATTGAAAATACATGCAATGTGACGAAATATTGCTTCATCTTTTCTGTTATTTAATCCATCATAGCTGACTCTTAGTGCTTTCCCAATTTTTCTATCCAAACCTCGAAGCCTTGGCATCATATCTATCCAGTACCCTTTGTCTTTGCCCCGTAAATTTGAACCCAATACGTTCAGACCCAAAGGAAGATTACCAGCACACAATACAACTTTAGAAGAAAGCTCCATAAAGCCATCAGGTGGAGACCTCTTCCTAAAAGCAAAATGACAAAACATCTCCAGAGCGAGGGAATTAGATGGGAGACAGACCTTGTAAATGTGATCAATCCTATTGGCCCTTAGAAAATGCTTATTTTTTGTAACCACAATGATTCTACTCCCACTTCCAAACCATTGAGCTTGACCTGCTAAAGCATCTAGCACATCTTGATCATCTAAATCATCAATAACAATGAGAGCTTTCCGATGCTTTACCATCATTTCCATTGCACCTATATGATCTATCTTTATGTCTTTTTTGTCTAAGATTTCAACTAGAAAGGCCCTTTGCAAGTGCAACTTCACGTTATAGTCAACAAGATTAGCTCCACTGTAAACTTCCATACTCTTAGATATGAAAACCCTGTCTATGAAAACACTACTTTGAAACTGACGAGAGAGGCGACGAAATAGATCTCTTGCGATGGCAGTCTTGCCAATTCCGGAGGAACCCCATATCCCAACCATCCTCACTTCCTTGGATTTCAAGTGCAGCAATGAAATCATCTTTGTGATATGATCTTCAATTCCGACAAACTCCTCAGAATCATGTGATGGAGATCGATTTAGTTTATCCAAAACATTATTGGCGATTGCTTCGATCATGCTTGCTTCGCTATCCCTAATAAGGAAAAAGACCCATAACCCATTCACAAACATGTTTGTTAAATAACAAAGAAATGGTATTTACGTCGTACCAGGTCACAGTATGATATCCAAGGATATTAGCTACATCGGTCAAAGCTCCCCTCCATTGGATTTTCTCGACCTCTGTTTTATATCGGCATGTCTTTTCAAAGATCTTCCCAAAGTCTCCAGTCTGTTTTCTAACATGGGAAGGATCCAAATGATAGAAAATGGGTATCACAAGCTGGTCAACCACTTTCTTGCAATTCACGATCTCCAGCAGCTCATTAAGGCACCAGCTTGAAGAGGCGTAGTTTTTGGAGAAAACCACCACTGCAATTCTGGAATTTTTAATAGCATGTTTAAGCTCAGGATCGAGTGACTGGCTTCTCTCGATCTCATTGTCTTTGAAAGCAATAATCAGTTTCCTATCCAGTTCCTTTAATAAGTGGCTGAGGAATGTGTTGCGGACATCTTCTCCACTGAAGCTCGGGAAAACGTCAAATGACCAATTGCGAGAAGAGCAAGAAGAAGAAGAAGCCATAACGAGAGGTGACTCTGGAAAATTTCAGAGTAAAAGGGAGAGCTAGCATAGTTGTTATGAAACCCTAAAAATTGCAAATTTCAGAGAGGTACCTAGCAATTGCAGCATTGTTTCTTGGATTTTTCTGATGCAACTTGACGGAAATTTCCTCTTTTGGACTGGTCCATGACTTTTATTTCTACCAATGGGATTTAAGTCACTTTTCCAAGTCACTTTGCATATAGTCAAAGTTTGAACTTTCCCAACTAACTTTTCTACCAATAATCCCCACAAGAACACGTTCCATCCTCAAAATGATGAAACCGACTTGAATCCCTTAAAACAATCTCACGTCCCACAACTCTTGAGATCAACTTAACCACTGAGTGGCAATCTTCACAAACACGTAGATTTTTCATCACTGTGATTGTACTTCCTTCAACTGTATTAATCAACCCAAACGCAATAGCAAGCCTTTCACTGTGATACCACAACATCTCTTCTTTCTGTTCATTGTCAACATCATGTAAAGCAGATCTATAATCAGTAACATAGCCAAGTCCCTTCAACTTCTCTTTCAGAAACTCCAACTTCTCATATATTCTCACGCAATGTGGTTGATCACCTGAGAAAAATTCATGCTTTTTCCCTCTAAGCACAACCCAACTGCTCCCGGGTTTCTTCATTATCCCCTTCTGCTTCATCTTAACTCTCAATTTCGATACATTCGACCATCTACCAGCAGAAGCATATATATTTGACAATAAGATATAAGCAGCGCTTGAATTTAACTCCATATTAAAGATGGCTGCAGCAGCTTTCTCGCCTCTGTCTACATCAGAATGCATCCTACAAGCACTAAGTAAAGCCAACCAAACTAATTCATTAGGTTTCACAACCATGCTCTCGATAAGTTCTTCTGCTTCTTTCAGTTTCCCGCTTCTTCCCAAAATATCAACCATACAAGTGTAGTGTTGAATCTTTCTATCAATATAATTTAGTCCGCTTGACATGTAATAGAACAACTTTCTTCCTTTCTGTAGAAACCCGCAATGGCTACAAGCAGAGAGCAAGCCAGTGAAAGTGATCTCATCTGGGTCTTTGTTTAGGCGAATCATTTGACCAAATATGACAAACGCCCACTTTCCACGCCCATGCTGCGCGCAGCCAACGATAATGGAATTCCATGACACAATGTTCTTCTTGGAGATTTCTGTGAACACTGAAACGGCATCGTTCACGTTTCCACAATCACTGTACATCACAGCCAGAGAATTACCCACAAAGGCATCAGCTCCTAAACCAAGCTTCACAGCAACTCCATGCATCTCCTTACCCCAATCCAATGTTCCCAAAGCAGAGCAAGAGTTTAATCCGCTAGCAAATGTTGATTGATTTGGTAATATACTGTTTTTAAACATACCGGAGAATACACTTAAAGCATCTTCGTGCTTCTTGTTCAGACTATAACCTGACAATAGAGCAGTCCACACAGCAACTTGTTCACGAATCTTCTCGTCGAACACCTTCCGAGAATCATCTGTTCTTTGGCAGTTTGCATAAAAAGTTATGAGCGAAGCAGATACATATTCTTCATAGAAAAAACCAGACTTGATGATGAAGCCATGAACTTGTATACCCATATGAAACGCTGGAGCATTCGCACACGCGGTAATTACACAAGTGAAAGTTCTTGAAGTCGATTTTATGCAACAACGCAACATGTTCTTGAACAAATCCAGAGCCTCTCCACTCCTCTCATTCTGGTCTAACCCACAGATCATAGTTGTCCACGAAATTACATTCTTCCGAGGCATTTGCTTAAACAACTTCAAGGCATCGTCTACTTTACCAAACTGTAAATACCCATGAACCATTGTGTTCCACGCTGTAGTATCTTTCACAGGCATTTGAGAAAACAATCTCTCCGCTTGATCAACCTTACCCGACTTAAAACACCCAGTCACCATTGCTGTCCACGAAACCACACTTCTCTCAGGCATTTCATCGAACAGCCTCACTGCAGTATCAATATCTCCACACTCTACACAACCACTGATCATCGAATTCCAGGAAACAACATCCCTCACAGGCATTTCGTCGAACATATCCAACGCATCAACCAATCTATTGTTCCTCGTGTATCCCGTAATCATCTTGGTGTAAAGACTCACATGAGGTGATGGAACCTGATTGAAAATCTCTCGAGCCTCATCGAGTCTTCGGTTCAACAAGTGATTACATATCAAAACTTCACGACTCTGAGACTCCTTAGCAACTGAGAAGCTCCTGTACCATTTCTCATGGAAGCACGAAATGGAGAAAGCTCGAAACTTGAATCGTTGTAAAATTGCGCGACTCCTCATACTTGTAACGGTCTCATCAGTGATTAACAATTATTATAAAGCCAAATAGCCACAAACAACGTAGAGGTTTTGAACTGCCATGTTTATGTATCACTGTCTGCTAATTTGGTCAGACGATGTAATGATTTTTTTCTATGAGATTAGCTATGTTTCATTTCGAGGGTCTGACAAAATTTGTAATAAATCAAAGATTCGATTCATATTTTACGTTGTGTAGATTCTGAATTAATCATATCATAAAACGAGAACCCAAGTTATAAAATCTTCAAAACGCAAAAAGAAGGTAATCCAAAATAGTCAGACGATAAATAAAAAGTAAAACACTACAGATAAGGGCTTTTCACTCGTCTTCCTGGCTACGCAACCTAGCAAGCTTGTTGGTAACAACGATGTCTAGCTGAGAAGCTCTCTCCACTATGGCCTTTCTCTTCTTGGTTGAGACATTGTGAGCAATCTCGGCACAGTAAGTCCTGAGAAGAAAGTCCAAAGTAAGACACATCAATGAGAATATGCTCAAGAATCTCTCACATTCTTCTGAGGTTAAAACTAACAAAGCATTATAGTTACCTGTTATGCATCATGAGCAGCTCAAGCTCAGAAGTGTTGTGAACAACGAATTTCTTGAATCCATTAGGGAGGTAGTGACGGGTCTTCTTGTCAGAACCGTAACCAACATTGGGCATCAAGGTGACACCCTTGAACTTTCTTCTCACCCTAGAGTCAATACCCTTAGGCCTCCTCCAGCTTTCCTGAACAACAAACACAAGCCAAAAGAATCATCAGAGAGAATGCAAGCTAAACATATCACTAAAGAATCAAATCAAGCTTTCTGAGAAATGTCTACAGGGTTAAAGTAACAGTAAGCTTATCAAATCTAAGCAAACCGTGTCGCAAGACCTGTAGGAGATTCACTTTCTGCCCGTATATAAACGAAGTAACCAGAAACAGAATTAGAATTCTGGTTACCAGATACCACAGGGCATTTCACATATGCAAAGTCTCATAGTCCTAATGAATCATATTAAACTAAACAAGAACTAAAACTATACGTCACATAAAAGATGCTAATCATCATCAAGATTCTAAGACTAAGAGGTAATGATGATACAGTAGAATCAATAATTTTTTTCTCACTACCAAAAGACACGAGTACTTATGAAAAAAGTTGAATCTATAAAACTGAAAAAGAGATTAAAGATGATATACCTTGACGGTGATTCTGCGATCACTCTGGGGTCTGATGAACTTGGCAGACCTCTTCTTCACGACCTTCTTCATAAGCAACGGAACCGCCATTTTTACTCCTTCTCTACAAAATCACCAAAAGGTACAGAAGCGTAAGAAGAAACATTGATATCAATTGATCTATACACACAAACTAAACACAAAGATGTGATTAAGGGAGCGTGAAAGAGCGAGAGAGAGCTTACGGTGATGAGAACTTCCTCCGCCGCTATTGTGAAAGGGTGTTTTTTTTAAGACTGAAGTTTGCTATATAAACATATACTAGGGTTTCTCGGTGTTATGGACAAAAATGTAATTTCGTTAGAGATCAGAGATTGGTTGATAGAATCAACGGCTGGATCTTTAAGTTACTCTAAACGGACAATCAACGGTTGGATCTTAAGTTTTTGAAAAGATGAATATATACGCTAAATTGAATAATTTAACTTTTTTAAATCTTTTTTATATGAAATGGCAATTTAAATTGGTTTTGGGATTTTAAATTTTGAAGTTTATATATTTGGTTTAGATCTTACTTTTTTTTTACAGTTGAGTAGTTGTGTGTTTACATTGATTTAGTTTAGCCAAATGCTACAATGATGTTCTCTCTTGGTTGAATAATGTGTTCCGGTGTGTCTTGTCTTTCCAACATCTTTTTAGACAAGAATCTAAAGTAGCACAATGTACATGTGATGTTCATCAAACAAATCTTGTGATGTTCTAACCTGTGATGTTCATCAAACAAATCTTGTCTGGTGAAGAACATTCACTCAAGACTCTGTAAATATCAGAACGGAACTCAAACGAGTTCGGTGCTGATGGTACTGACTCCACCCACTCCTTTTCAACCTTCTGAACATGTGAATTCATCTTCATAACAGCTTCAAGCTCGATTTTTCCTTTCAATCTCTTCAGAAACTTCATTGAGAATGTCATTTCGAGGTTCTTAACTTCAGATTCTTCGGTCACCTGGATCCCAATCTCAGCACCTTTTGCGCTAGCAAATCCAACGAGCATCGGATTGATGTAAAGTTGTGCAGGTTTTGGTTTTTTTTCAATGCTGTGTACCTATGAAATTGCCAACATGTTAAAGCTTAATGCCTTTAATAAATTTGAAGAATAAAATCAGAAAAGATCAAAGAGAGAAATCGTTGATGTTTAGATATCGATACCTGAAGATAATCGATTCCCAGGGTGGAAAGAGAGTCTGTAATTCCATGTGAAGCAAGGATGCTCAAGACTCCACCAGAGCCAACCGGGGACTTAAGTATCTCCCATGGAGATTTCATCAAAATTTTGTGCTTTTTGGGTTCCTCTGGTAAGCTGCATACTACTGGAAGCGTTTCTTCCTTGAGAAACCAGATCTATATATTAAAAAACATGTACTTTGTGAGAACCTAATAGCCAAAATGCAACACTATCATTGGAGGAATTGAAGCCTTAAACCTTTTCTGACTCAAATCCAAAATGATCATTATCCTGAAATAGCTTCTGCAGAGTTTCCATGGTATGTTCAGAGGAAACTATAACAAGTGGCACGCAAGCGCGATCTTCTTCCTGTACATAGCCCAACAATTATCCTGTAAAACCATAATTTATTGACACGAAAATCTCAATGGTGGTAAATTATGCATCAGCTAACCTTTATGAACTTCTGCTCCTCATCAAGTAGTGTATGAAGATACGAGACTACACCATTCTCACTTTCTGGTTGTTCGTTCTTGAGATCATTGACAACCAAACAAATAGAAACTTTACCCTCAGAGAGTAGACTTTGTCCTTGTTGCAGGAAACTGAAGCTGTCACCCATTTTCTCTTTGCTTGGATCAAAACTAAGGCATTCTCGTGACACATTCAGATTACATTCCGATACTCTACCTCTCAGCGCATTGATTTCCTCAATTACATTCCATCTATTTTTTCATCAAGATTAAAATGAAAACTAAGAAAACACGCTTCTCGCAATGGTTGGAAATTTCTTGAAGTTAATTTACCTCTTTGACGCGGTGTCAATACTTTGCAAAGCTTTCTGAAGTAGTGTGGAGTTTACGTCAAGGATATTATCAGCAAGTAAATTCCTTTGAGACTTTTCTCCAAACCTTAATCCATCAAACACATGCTTTTGCTCCAGTTCACATAACTTCTTTTTAGCAGCAATAAGACGCTTCTGCTGCTTTTTTCTTTCTTTCCATTCCTGAAACGACCAGAACATAGATTTTAAAAGATCAAGAAAGATCACAATGGAAAGTCCATAAAGACTGGTCAATCTGAAGAGTGAAGAAGAATATGCCTCACAAGCTGCCGCCTTTCTTTCTTGGACCGATCATCTGCTCGCATATTCACCTCAAGGAGTCCCTTCGGGGGGGTTATATACATCTCCTTTCTTTCTAAATCAACATCAGGAACAATTGCGTCTACAAATGGTATCCACACAAGCTGATTGGTCTTTGCACTCCCATTACAGACTTCCAAGGAAGGGTCAAGCATAACGTGTAGAAGATCATTTCCTCCATTGTCGAAAATATTAGCAACAGTTCCAACAAGTTGACCCGTCTCCTGTATAAGATAACTGATTTAGACCAGAGACTTTTTCACAGTTTAGATATGTTATATAAAGCGCAAAACCCAAATATACCTTGAGAAGAACTCTCATGCCTACAAGATCACGACTGTAAAACTCTCCTTCGTCAAGCTCAGGACGATCTTCTTCTTCAGCAAGCAGAGTTGCACCAACAAGTTGTCTCACCTAAAGGAAAGGAAACCCACAAAATTTGAAATTTAACAAATTATGTTCAATTGTCTTATCTAAATCTCTCATGGATCACTAAACTACCTGATCAACATCGTCCAACCCTTGAAACTTAAGAATCCAACTCTTCTGCGCCGGATGAGGTCTTCCTTCCACTAATTCAACCTCATCAATCTTATCTTGTCCCATCAATTGTTGTTTTAACCATCTTCTACCCGGCTAATGAAGTAATCACGCCAATGGTAAAGCAATGTCAAATACTATAAAGTGGGTTTTTTTCCAGGAAAAACAAAAAAAACATACTTTCCACAAGTACCTTGGAGAAACGTAAATCAGGAAAATCAGTGTTTGGTTTTATGCAAATCTCCCCTTGTAAGCCATGAACACCAGACAAGAATCCAACCTCAACCAAATCCAATTCACTGTTACTACTGGTTTCAACAGCTTCATCAGTAGCTGAATAACAAAGACAGCCAATCAAACCAAAATTAGAATCAAATCAATAATCCAGGTCCTAAGTGCAAACAGCTTCTCAGAACCCAAAAGAACAAGACAGAGATCCCAGAAACACAAAACAAGGATAAACCCAATAAACAAAATTAGTTACCGGTGCTACGAACGAGGAAGCTGGATTTCCCACGAGCTCTCACTAGACTGAAGTGACATTTGGTAGGAGACAGAGCCGAGACGGGACGAGGTAGTTCGAAGTTTTGGAAACTATGGTAATTATTAGGATTGAACAGTTGAATTGGTGTGAAAGTGATTGAGGTCGAAGAACAGAGAAGCGAAGCTCTCAGCATTATCTCTTCTCTCCCTACGCAATGGATATGACGAAAGTCGCAGCAACAACATAAAAATCCCAACTTTACCGAAACGGAGAAAGGCGGCTAAAAAGACTCTTTGTCATCCAGAGGGTTCTCATGTTCATGTGTCCACGTCGCAAGTTTAAGCACTTAAGTTTGGTGGATTGTAAGTTACAATTTGTATAACTCGTGGCCTCATGCATGCCTTAGGTATGATGATCAGCCTTAAAAGCGGACGAGTAAAAGATTTAATGGGGTAATAACATATTTGTATGCAGAACTTGGGATATGCTTGAGACTTTGAGCCAAAACTCGGGAGCAGCTGTTCATGGCGCATTACCAACAACAACGCCTGATGCCATTCAAACTACATAACACTCATTTTACGGCAACTTGTTTTGTTAATATTTTCTGCCTTGTAAATTGTAATCGCACTGCAAATAAGATGGCTCACATGTAAACGGAGTCCTTTTGTTTAATTTTCAATGTCAAGCTAAAAGAGTCTGTTGTGAGGTAACCTTCATAAAGCACCAAAGAACTTTTAATATTGTGTAAAGGTTTCCATGGATTGCAAAAAAATGGTTACACTCGTGAATCATTCATGTACTTTAATACTATAAGGGTTTTATGAACTGAGCAAAAGTAATACTGAGCCTGCAACTAGTTTTAGCAGAGGTTCCTGGAAATTTCACCAAGGATAACATCAATAATCGACATACTAATTTAAACCAGTCACAGCGCAAAGATGTTAAAACCTAGGAAGAAACAAACAAAGCTCAGAAGCTGAGAAAACAGCATCACTGAAACTGAGATACACATTTTATACAATCATCTGTGAGTGTGTTTGATATTAAGACAATAACATTTTTCCACTCTACATGAAACAGATTTTGGACCGAGTTAAGTAGCAAGATTGTGAAACAGCTTTCAGTAAAATTACAGGGTTGGAGAGGAAGGAAATAAGAAACCAGAAGCAGAAGAAGCTTGTTAGACCAAAAAAAAGGACAAGTAAAAATGAATTTAAAGCTTACCTACTCTTGTCAATTCCATTAAGCGTATATATATAGTTAAGTTCGTTACTTCATTGGATGATATCTGCACATAAGGTATGGCAAAATAATAAAACTTTAATGAGTATTATAGACTATATATACCATGAGCTTGACTCGATCATCGCATATTCGGAATTCCTCCAACCTCGAAGTATGAAATCTCATCCGAATGTTGCAAAGCCAAAAGATGGAAAACGTGGGATAACTTTGCTCAGAACCTTTAAAATAAACAATAGAAGCTGATAGAAGATTCAAGATTCATGACCCAACAACTTCTGCATTACTTGAATATATTTCTGTAATTCTATGATTGGCAAAGAAACATTTAATGTATTCTGGATTTACCATTCCAAGTAAGAATTTTCAAGCTGCACTAACAATACAGGGGATGCCAAAGAGAGGGACATGAACGCAGCTGGTGTTAACTTCCAAAATTATATCACGCAAGAAACTCAATTGTACACATCCATTATATCAGCTTAACCAACTGTACATTTGTAACAAACTGCAAGATTTTCTAAGATCTATCTTGGCAGAGAAGAACCAGCAAAATCATAAGATTTAAGCCCACAACTAGGTCTTCTATTATAAAAAGCGAGCAAGCAAGGAAACTTACTCTCACTAGACTCATCGAGCTTATTCTTTGGTTACCTAGTTAACAACCTAAAAAGAGATATGAGAAACTAATTAAGAGCCAACTTATGACTATAATTCGAAAGGAATGAAATCAGAATCTGCACTCGATGTATATAGACAAAAAAGAAAAGAAAAGGAAGCTCTTATTCCTTGTTACCAAATCTCCTGCCAATGATAGGTCGAACATCATCAGCCACAGCCAAAGTCTCTAAGAAGGGAAGTATAGAAACCAAACCATCATCAGTTGGATCATCGTACCAACTTTTGATAGGGATCCCATTATTTATTTGCAATCTGTACACCTGAAACAATTTACAAAGAAACAATTTGGATGATCAAAACGGGTCCATGTATATAAACCAATAAAGTTTGAAATCTGTAATGTGACAGATATTCTTCAAACTGAAATTGATGGTTGAGACCTTTCTCAGTAAAAAGTACATAAAACATAATGAAACATCAGACTTCATTGAAAAAGGTCAAGACCCATGACCAGATCTTAATATAAAGTACCTGTGGACAGTTGTCAATTATTGCCACTTTGGCCAGATCAAGACCCAGAACAGTTAAATCCTTGGTGTAAATTCCATCCAAAAGAATGCATGAATCGCGATATAAACGCTGTGATATGAACTTTCCATCAGGGTCCAATATATCTAGAAGTTGTGAGGCATAGATGCTGTGGCTTGCTGTGAAGATGACGACATGAAACAATTCTACCACCCTCTCCAAGAACCTGTAAAGGTGTGGCCTTTGTTTTACATAGACAGTGTTTTCTTGCATGTTGAAAAAGACTCTGAATGAAAAATCTGCAGCGTTACACGTTTCCAGAGAGGAATGGACCAAAGTTTCTGCATTTAGGAAAAAGAAAAAAAAATATTTGGTAAGTTCAGTAGCTCATCTATCTAATAGGTAAATAAACAGAAAAATTAACAGTACACAGTCATAAAAATGCTTAACCATATTTCCTCAAAATGAAGAACTAAGTCAGCTAACCTTCTGTTTCTAAACATGTAACAGTATACTATATCAGTTTAAGGGAACAACTGCTAAAACAATTGAGCACAAGATGAGAGAATAACGTAAAAGGACAAATCAGACTCAATAATATTTAAAGGAGGGTATCATACCATCCAAATCAAGGACAAGCGTCACAGACTTCTTTCTTAAGGTATCCCGAGGCCAATAATTGGATACAACATCCGATAATTCCGGTTGATTTTTTATAAAAAGCTGAGGATCAAAGTCTTCAGCTAGTTCATTGTCAGCATGATCCTCTGATTCCATGTTGTAGGATCTCGTCCGGTTGAATGCCAGAAACAAGTCATGGTTATCGAGATTAATCTTGTCAACGTCTGACTTAATATCATCTGTGTTGGCTGATCCATCTTCTAAGTAAGGTAGTACCATGTACTGCTCAGGAAAGATGTAATGAGGCAAGGGACTTATTTCAGTGAAAGCATCATTTCCATTCTCATCAAAAGGCAAGCTTGCAATGAGAACGTCAGAAATATAGAAATCAGAAACATTGCATGTTTGGTTGTCGAAGCAAATCTTGTTGCTGCTCTCGTCGGCTCCCCACCTGGGGGTTTCCCAGTGCACGGAGTTTCCTGCGGTAAATACTGAAGAAAGTAAATTATTAGGTTATTATATGTCAAACAAAGGAAAACTAATACCAAACTGCAAGAGGAACATATACCTCGATCACTTCCATCCAGTTCATCATTCAGAACAGGTGAAAATATTGTATCTGAGTTTGACATGTAATTGCAAGCAATTTCCTGCAAATAAATGTTAAACCCAAAATTAAAAGGTTGCTCATCTAGTATCAAAGAATAATAATTGAAAGTCGTGTATCAAATCGTACCATTTTTTCAACAGATTCAGAACCATCAACAGAAGATGCAACCGCCTGAGACTGAGAAGTGTCTTCCACAAGCATTTCAGCGGGTTCATTTGTTTCATTATCCCGGGCAAAAGTATCAAAACCTGAAGAAACTGACACAATCATCAGAGAGAGGAAACAAAAAAACGATTGATGATACAAGAAACTCAGATCATCAACATCAACAATTTGATCACAATAATTTTACGAGGAGAAATCTTTACCAGGATGCTGTTTCTCATCCTCTTGGCTCGTATGAATAGTAGCTGTGGTCATGCTTTCCAAGTCCTCTGATATTTTGGACAAAGACGAAGAATTTCTTATAGTTGCTTTATGTTTCTTACAGACACCAAGAACCTTGCTTATCTTGCTCTTCATTTCTATATATGGCATTGGCTCAGTATATCGAATTATAACGACCCTTGGACCAAGCACATTCAGGTGAAACGAGACCTTATTGAAAGACCAAAACAGTAGAAGATGCTGCAAAAAAAAAAAAAAAAAAAAAAAACAGAGCCCATCAAAATCAATCATTTGAAACATTAAACATAAAATCCATAAAAGAGAACATAGTCTACACAGCTCATGGAGACAAAATCGAGAAGAGAAACAAACCAAAAGTCAACCTCTCAGAAATACCAAAACACAGAGGGAAAAAAAACCTAAGTTTGGTCTCTCTATATCCACAGGTCTCTCTACTCCTTATTCACTCGAGACGGAATAACAAAATCAAAAAGTACATGTTCTTCTAATAAAACTAAAATCTCAACTCCAAATCAAAGATACACTAACATAAAATCAAGTAAACGTTAAGCAAAATAACTTACAGCAAGAAACTACAGCAGATTCAAAGATTCAAACACTAAACTCACAACACAGATAAACGAAACCCAGAACAAAATTCACAAATCCAGCACAATTCAAAAAAAAAAAAAAGTTTTTCAGAACACCCATATAAAAATGGAACTTTTTCTAAAAAATCGAATAAACCTCAAAGCAAAAACAACCACAGAATCACAAATCGAAAGTCAAACAACACAGAAGAAAACGAAATTTACAGGTGAAGACGAAGAAGATGAAGAAAGCGATCGAATTTAAGGGAAGAAGACGAAGACAGACCTGAGAGAGAAAGGAGAGGAGAGGAGAGGAGAGGAGAAGAGAAGAGAAGAGAAGAGAGCTGATTCGTCGTCTCGTCGTCGTCTTCGTCTACTTTGTTGTTTGTGTTTGTGGGTCTGTCTCTCTCTCTTCTCTCTGGGTTTTTTTCTTTCTCTCACATAACTTCCACGAACGGTCAATAGAGAATGATATGAGCCTTATGACGGCTCTTTATTTCATCTAATCAACGGCTACGATTTGTTCCTTTGGTGGGCGCTTCTTATCCAATACCTAACCTACACGTGTTCTACTAGACCAGCTGGACGACTCACCCACATAATTTGACGCGTGTTGAAGCCCCTCGCTTTTTTTTGAATTCTTTTTAAAAGATTCTTTTCGAGGTTTTGGGCTAAACTGAAAAACAAAATTATTACGAATATGTACCAAATATTTTAATTGCTTCTCTTTCGTCCATTAAAAACAGTAACCGGTTAAACCAAAATCGAATTGAAATGTTTGGTAAGGCTTGTTCGTTAACAATTAAAACTGAAGTTTTTCGAACACTTTTTTTAGTTTTGTTTGGGTATTTAAATAACACAATCAGTTACGTGTTCATCAGCTTTCGTAAGATTCATATAGAACTGATGGAAGTGTCAGATAGATATGCTTCATCGACTGCTCCAGATTCTTGACTCTACAAGAACATATATCCTTTAGTAAACAGCTTAAGAAGATGTAGAAATCGAAGCAATCATGTTTGAGTTTTTAAGCAAACCTTTTGAACATCACTGTTTGTTGTGGAGACCTGTTGCTGTGGTATAGAGGGTTGTTGTTCCTCGCCTTTTACTTCTCCTTGCAACTGCTGTTGATGAAGATACAAAGCATATTGTTGTTGCTGTTGGTACCACTCTTGTTGTTGTTGTTGTTGTTGCTGCTGGAACTGAATTTGCTGCTGATTTTCTGGTTCTTGGCTCTGTTCCTGTGTATTGAGCTGTTCCACCTGTTGAGATTGTGGATATTGAGTTTTGGCTTGAGATTGATACTGTTTGGAGAGAAGTTGCAGAAGATTCTGATCAAGTTGTGGCTGAGGGTTCTGATTTGGTTGTGGCTGTCCAGACATAAGCTGTTGCTGTTGCTGTTGTTGTTGATGGTAGTAATAATAATTATAATAATACTGTTGCCACATCTGGTTATAAGCTTCATGACTCTGCATCTGACCTTGTTGGTAGTTACTTTGCACTGGATTCTGAGGAATCTGAGTTTGAGGATAAGCATAGGAGGTTTGAACCTGAGGTGTAGAGTTTTGATATTGGTTCTGCGGATTCTGTGAATCTGGAGGGGATACAATCATGTGCTGCTGACCAAGTATCTGAGTTTGAGGATAAGCATTGGATGTTTGAACCACAGGATGCATCTGAAGTTGATAGTTCTGTAATTGGTTTTGCGGATTCTGTGAGATTGAGCTTTGTAGCGCGGCTTGATTGTCTCGAGGAGCAACACCCATGTGCTGACCTAGAATTTCACGACCAGTTCTGACTGTAGAATACGGCATCTGAGGAGGTCTCTCTTGAGAACGAGGTTTTGATTCTCTCTGAGGCTGATTTATATCTCTTCGGTGGTACCTGTTCCGACCAGTTAGCCTGAGAGACTCTTGACTTTGGTGACTTTGGTAACTTTGGGGACTCCGTGAGCCACTAGGTTGGATCACTATAGCATCTGATTTCACATTATCTACTGAACTGGAAGAGAAGTGATCTTGATTAGTGACAAAACCATGTTTTGGTGTGGCTTGAATAGGTAGGCTAACTTCACGAGAGCGTTCGCGACCTTCATCGGCTTTTAATCCCTTGGACAGATCACTCTGTAACTCACACAAATTCTCCCCTGCAGCAACATTATCGTTTCCTTCAACAAGATGTCCTGAAACCAGGCAATCCCGATTAGGCTCAGTGTTTACATAGTCACCTTTAGATTGGGGACTATCACAGTCTAGAGATGATTCTTTCTTTTCTTTTGGTGGCGGATCGACTGTGCAGCTAATGTCTTTGTTTGTCAATAGGTCCTGATTCAAGCACTCAAGAGTCTTCTCTCTTCTCTGAATCAACTCTCTAAATGATCTTCCTAAAGGACGGGGCACATGTATCTTCGCTCTAGCAGAATGTGGGAATAATTTTATGTGTCGACCCAAAGCCTTCCGCACATCATGGATGGTTCCAGAGAGATCAATAAACTACAAAAATCCAAGAGCAATTACTAAGTATCAAACACATTCTATGCAATCAAGAAATGGGGAAAAGTGAAATAGATAAGCAAAAAAAACCACAGTATCTCCTGATCTGTAATAAAAACCTTACCTCCATGTATAAATTTGATATCTCCTCTTTGTCCTCTGCGCTCAGACAATCAGAAGAATCTGCCTGGTGAGATATTTCTTTATCTATGATAGGATCTAGCAAATCCACTTGTCGAGACCCTCCATACATCATTAAGAGTCTTATAAGTTCCTATTAGCACAAAGATTAACAGTGATTGAAGGTTAAAAATCATAACAGACGTTACAGAAATTCAGTGGATAAATATGATTTCTATGTGGGAAATTGTGATTAGAAGTTTCAAGAGATTCAAACTGCCAGCCAATAAACACACCTCAAGAAGTAATTTGCAGTGGGGAACTTTCTCATTGCCTTCTATCAGAATCTGAGCTGCATCTTCAGCACTATTTGTAATCTACAAAAAGGAAGAAAACCGAAATAAGGAAACGAATACTAAACTATGTGAAGCATTGAAGGTTAGGTAGTGAACCAAGCAGTTCCTAATCACTACCTGTAGCTCTAACTCTTGACAGGTTTTGAACAGATAACTGAAATACAAACCTTTACAAGTCAGAAAGATTACTTACCATGTACTTAAGGCGAGAAAATTGAACATACAGCAGTGCGGTTGTTTCCAAATTTTCTTTTTCAATGAGTGTTTTCTTCAGAGCTTCTTTGTACGTAGTAACAGCAGCTTCAAAATTACCCTGCATGGAACACTGCATAATCAGATATTCTTGACCACTGAGACGCCAAAAACCAGATGGTACCGAGTAGTGTATCTTACCAGGCGCTTTTCCATGTTAGCCTTCTTAGTTACATTTTCAACAAAACCGAAACCCAGTTCCACACCACATTGTGAAAGAGCCACTGAAGCAGCAGATGCATCTCCAACATGTTCCTTAAATCTTGCATTGAATAGATGGATAACAGATGCATTCTACGAACATACAAGGTGTCATGCAAATGTATGAGCCTAGTATCTGATTTTTTTCGATACACTAAAGCAAAGAACCCAATTTACCTTGACAAAAGTCTGTGAAGCTCGAGCCAATGCAAAGTTTGCTAGCTCCCTTCCACCTTTGTTTTCTACAAAATCCACATAGCGGAACCAGAACTCTGTGTAACTAGCGCATGGTATTAAGCATCTCTCATAAAGCTTAATAGCCTGCAATTAAAAAAGAAACAAATTTTATACATAAACAAGAATAGGACAAGAGCCAAACTGAATCAAAAACAAAGGAATACCTCTTACCCAGTCAAAGTCTCCATATGATTCGGCGAAGCTCAAATATGCATGCCAATTGTCCAGCTGATTAGTGTCCAATGGATTTATATGAAAATAAGGCCTGCAGATATGTGTCTCAAAGTAGCTTATTTTCTCCATCAACTGCCATGAATCTTGATAGAATTGTTCCCCAATTGACAAATATTTTTGCAGTGCGTTTGACAAAACTGAGCTAGAGGAAGGGCCCATAAAGTCTCTTACAACAATAGAGATCTCCTCATCAGTGTGACATGTAGGGACCAAATCTTCTTCCATGGGGTCTGAGGAAAGGTCTCCTTTAACATCAATTCCACAATTAATCGTCTCTTTCAAAGAAGCCGCAATCTTCCTGAAGCTGAAGAAAGTGCACAACAAGTATAATGTAATGGAGAATGACAAACTTAAGCTACAGGAACTCGTATTTAATTGTAGTAGTCATTTGAGAACAGATGTAAAAAGACATACTTTTTGTAATAGAGATCCAACTTCTTGGACGGATATTTCAGGGTCCGGAGATATACATGAGCCAGTGAACTCCATTGCTTTTGGTCCAAAAGATATTCTACATATTTGTCCCAAAGAGTGTAGCAAGAATAATCTTTTCCAACAAATGAAAGTCCCCTCTCAAATAATCTGTCAGAAGTGAAGTAATCAGCTCCAAAAATCAGCCAAAATATATAGAGGCAAAGTAAATTATCAATCTACCTACAATTGAATAAGCTGAACAACAACAATCTCAGCCAACTCTAGTCATAGAACAATTCTAATGATGATGAGTAAGATTGTTGTTGAGTTCCAAATTACAATTAAAGTTTCAGATAATTTGTTACTCAAAGCTACCCAAAATGCAGAAATACCTACAAACATCATGAGGATCTTCATACGCAGCAACACCGAACGCGCAATAGTCGAGCCATACAGGTACACAATAAGTAGCTGACTTTACAGCTCGTTCGAAAACTTCAACAGCATCTTCTAAAGAGCATAACTTTATCTTATGGTAAGCATATTTCCTCCAATAACCATGGCACAATGGAAACTCCAACAAGAAAGCATCGTAAACTAAACATAGCTTCTCAACATTATCCTACAAATAGCAAAAGTTCAGAGATTTTTAAGTTCCTCGGAAGCAAAAGTTTTGAAATTTACAACAAAGAATCCTAATTTAAGATCACGAAATCAGAAAACAACCAACTTTGCGGCACATTGAGTAGGACTTACAGGGAACGAAGTCTCTATTTCGGAGATTAACAAAAGCCATTCATCAAAATCAAGTTCTCCACTGCAAAATGTTTCTTGTAATCTATCGTTGTCGAGGAAATCTGGAAACGAAATCAACAAAATGAGGTGACTATAAGATTCTACTTGCTTCTTTGAGTAATGGCGGAAACTGATACACAGAGAGATACAAGAGAGCGAGAGAGTTAGGGTTTACCACTAGATTCGTCTAATTCTGGAGACGGTGGTAATGGTTCCTCATCGGAGACGGCGGTCGTTACCTCCGTCGTCGCCATTGTTAGACAAGACTTCGAATTTTTCTCTTTTCAGTGAAAGGTTTTCATTTTCATACGACGGGCTGCTAGTATTATTATGGGTCAATTTAAGCAAATAATAAACATTACAGTAAATATCGTGTTAGAAGGCGATTAATTAACGAAATAGTAGAAAATGGTATTTAGGCAACGAGACCGAACATGGTGGCGAGTTGATGTCTCTCTGTCCTAAGAGATCGTATACTATCGATAGAAACACAAAAGTTTATTGAAATTAATTGCTGGATTTGTATCTTTTTCTTCTGTAAATTAGGTGTGTGTTCCGTTTTACATGCATTCGTGGAAACCAGGCTTTCGTGTCTATGAGTAAGGATATTTATTGTAAAGCCAATGCGGGCGAGTACAACATGAAGTTGCATTTACAAGAAACACTTTTGTGTGAAATATTAGGCCAAATAGATTTTTTGTTGTGGTTTGAGAAAAAAATAAGTACACAGCTTTGATGATTTCCATTGCATGTCAACTTCGTTGGAGATTATTGCACTTGGACAAACGTTCTTTAACTTCATCCCAACCTGCATGAATCATCAGATATTCAACAAACGACAAAAATTCAAGATTCTTAAGAGCTTAACTAAACCTGGTAAATTTCTGAAATCAGGTTCAATTCCACCGCCATTGATGTCCATATGGTTAGGTGTGACATACTTCCCTATTGTCACAACAACTCCTGAACCATCTCGGAGTTCATACACAGATTGAATCAAACCCTGTAACCCATTAATACAATTGACAAGAAGATGATCACAGACATTTCAAACTTGATAGATTCGTTTTAAATTTAGTAAGACTTTGGAATAACCTTTCCGTAAGTTCTTTCGCCAACAAGAACTGCTTTACAGTTATCATGAAGTGCAGAGGCCACCTGGAAAAGAAACAGGAACATCAGTTCGCTTCAACTGAGATTATGTGGCTTATCAATTGAGATTACTCACAATTTCACTAGCACTTGCTGTTCTGTTATTTACCATCACCTGCAACAAGGATAAGGATTCTAATCATCAGTGCATGATACAAAAAACAACATAATAGTGTGAAAGATTCAATGGCTTACATGATCCATCACATACAATAAGTGGGGCAGTGACCAACGGTTTCTTGTCTGCAATAACAGTTTTTTGAGCCTCAGGGTCTCTCCCAGCTGTAGATATCACCTGTTACACAAGCGCAACATATAACATGATTTTAAGCAAATCGTGATGGAACTTCTCATGTAAGTTGAAGTAACTATTCTGTTCAATATTCCTGGAAAACGATTGAAAACTTTTTGAGGATTCGAAATGATTGTTGCCTTACCGTATCCCCTTCATCTAGGAACAGCTTAGCAGTTTCTATTCCAGCCTTAAATAACCAAAACCGAGAAACGCAGGCTAAGTGAAGAATCAAGTTATTGGAAAGCACTAGTGAGAAGATATGGTCTTAAGTTATAATTGTAGAATGAACCTGCACAAGTCCACCAAGGTTATCTCTAAGATCCATTACAAAATAAGATGCACCCTTGTCTTGGAGTCGTTTCATTGCTGCATATAGTGAAAAATATGTGTTGGATAAACCCAAGTAGATTAAAGGATGTGACTGATGTGACAATATTAAAAGGCTTACCAATCACCAAATCTTTTCTAGCCAAAGCATTGAACTCTTTCAGGCGAATATAACCGACAGATACTTTTCCATTGTCAACTTTTTCCAGCCGATAAGAGACTGGGGTCGGTGCATTAACTTGTCTTTGGATTTTAAGAGACTTAACAGGTCCACATTTCCCATGTTTCACCTGCAATATGCATAAACTACATAAGTCTTCATTCCAAACTAAACCAAATGCACATGTATATAGTTTGTATCTTATAATTAAGAATAATAACCTTGAGAACCACAAAAGTTTTATTAGGGCCTTGTAATAAAGATGATACTTCAAATGATGATTTCCCACTAACATCCATTCCATTGACAGCAATAATTTCATCTCCCTAGCAAATAAAAAGACATTGAACACTTTTAAGTGAGATGAACAGTGAACAAAACTACTAGAAATAAACTAGACCGGTTTCTGACCTGTTTCACGCCAGCAATGTCAGCAGGACTGTCCAATACAAGACCAAGAACCTTCAGCTTTACATTTCCATCACTATCAGAAACTTCCCTAAGGTTTATTCCAATACCAGTAATGTCATACTTCGACATCCTAGAGAACTTCAAACAAGTGGTACAAACAAAGATATGCGTAATTAGAACAATTTAAGATTCCTTCCTCCATCAATCAAATTCATAGAATATAAAGAGCAAAAACCTCATCTGGTGATAGAAACCGAGTGTATTGATCACCCAAACTTGCAAGCATTTTCTTAATCACTTCATGAGCCTTTGATCTACTCTTAATTGGACTAGCTAATATATCATCCTTCTGTTTCTGCAAAGTAACCATAAAAATTCAATCTTTACACAATAAAGTTTCCTCCTTTATCCACCCAACAAGTCAATTCACATACCTGCCAAGCTTCAGGACTCCAGTTATTATTTCGAGTATTTAAAAAGGCACCATTAACAATGTCCCAAGCTTCTTCAACAATCCCTTCATTGGTTACTAACTGAGGCTTAAAGTCATCATCTTGCATCTTAGTATCAGCTTCTTCCTCGTTAGGACAGTCTTCCGGAGCCGAATCGAAGTGATTCAGAGAAGAATCTTGAGATGATGAAGGCGGACTGAGAGAGAGATAAGGATCAGCAGCAGCAGCAACGGAGGAGAGGGGAGAAGAGAAAACGAGAGTGAGCGAGAGAGCTCCGGTTAGGGTTCCGATAACCGACTTTTTGAGAATTCTACTCAGATTAGGGAAGTCGAATTGAGACGGAGGCGGATGTTCCGGGAGAAATTGCGGCGTCGCCGGTGATGACGTGGCGGATAACGGCGAGGAAAGTGGAAGCAAAAGCCTCATCTTTTATCTTTGTTAACGGTCAAGATTCAAAACCAACAAAGCTTATGTTACATGGTGTATATAAAAGTTACGAATATTTACAAATAAGTCCTCGTACTTCTAAATATTAGTTTAAAATCTACTAGTTGTAGTAATTTAAAATGTTAATCCACAAAACAAGAACTTCTTTTGTTTTTCCTCGAAAGTACAAGTATTTTTTTTTCCAAATTTGAAAATTTTTACCTTCCCCAAAATTGTTAAAGAGAGACACAGAGAGGAAAAAAGAAAAAAAAAAGGTTTCTTGATAACTCAAAACCAGAAACGAGAACGAGAGAGAAACAAAGATCAATTTTTTCGTTTGTTCTTCTTCGTCGGCTGTGGAAGAAGAGGTCGACGAGTTTCTATCAGTAATGGGTTCCGGCAAAAAACGGAAAGGACAGAGAAAGAAAGAAGAAGACATTAATGTTAACGCAATTCCGGAGAGTTCGAGAGAGATTGTTCAGACTATGAAGGAAGTCGTGAATTGCTCCGAACGAGAGATTTACGCAATGCTTGTTGAATGCAACATGAACGCTGACGAAGCCATTACTCGTCTTCTTGCTCAAGGTTTCTTTGATAAAGTTTCTGCCTTTTTGGGGTTTTATTAGCTTTGAAGTTTGTTTGGTTGAAAGTGGAAGAAACGAAGATGAAAGAAAGCAGAGCAAGGCTTGTTTGTTGTTTTTTTCCCTCTGATTGGTATGTTGAGTTTAATGGGAATTTAAACCTTGTGCTAGTGAATCTCGTAAACCCTTTCTCTGATTAGAGAATTAGCCTAAAATCAATTGTTACTTCTGCATCTATCTTGTTACGTTACTCTGGGGTTTGTGTTTGACATCCATGAAAAAAGTTTCGTGTCTGAGTTATCTTTGCCCTCTAGTTGATTTCTGAAGATGTTGCTTTGGTTACGATTGCAGATAGTTTTCAGGAAGTGAAGGGTAAACGAGACAAGAAGAAAGAGGTTTGTGTGTACTATATAGATTGTTGTGTAATTCTAATGTAAAGTTTGAACCTTTGTAAGTCCTATTCCACTTCTTTTCTTATGTTTCCCAGGCCAAGGAAAAGTTGATAAAGTGCCAGAGAGTCGAAGACAGTAATGTCAATGCACATAATGTTCCTGCGGATTTCAAAGAGGTTGTACAGAATATTGTGAAGTGCTCAGAAGAAGAGACTAGCACAATGCTTGGAAAATGCAACATGGATGCTACCAAAGCCGTTAATCGTCTTCTTTCTCAAGGTTTCTTCAAAAAGTTTCTGCGTTTCTTTCTGGATTTTAAGATTTGAAGTTGTTTAGTTGATGGGAAAGTGAGAAGAAGAAACGAAGATGAAGAATTACCGAGCAAGGCTTTTTTCTTTTTCCTCTGATTGGTATGTTTCTTGGAAAAAAATAAACAGCCAGATGTTATTTTGAATAACTTTGACTCTGGTTATTCAACATCCATGAATTTTCTTTGCGTTTGGGTTCCTTTTCCTCATGATTCTTTTCTCTCTAATTGATTTTTGACAATGCTGCTTCTGTAACTTTTCCAGATGGTATTCAGCAAGTTAAGAGCAACCAATATGAGAAGAAAGAGGTTTGTGTGTACTAAATAGATTGTTCTGTGAATCCTAATGTAAAGCTTGACCCTTTTCGTGTCCTATTCCACTTAATTTCCCCATACCAAGGATTCTCAAAGTGTTGGTTGTAGCGGAAACAAGTTTAACTATGTTGGTCAGGGTGGCGTCAACAGGTTTAAATCAGATGGTAATGGAACTTATCTTTTCCTCTGATAATAGTGGTTCTGTATCTCAAACAAATGTCTAAAGTTACCGATTGGTTTGGCTCAGAGACGAGTAATGTCAAAGATCATTTAGCTGGTTCATCTACTACAGCCAGTTTTCTTAGTCCCGGTCCTTCATTAAACAGGTTCTCTTCATGCCTTCAGTCCTTTTATCTCTTGTAAATGCCTTAATTTTGTGAACTGATATATCTGATAATTGATAAAGTGGCTAAAAATATTGACAGAATTTACCTTCACTAGCTAGCTTCTAACATTACACGCAAACTGTGTCTTTGCAGTGATGTATCAAATGCTGAAATTAAGAGAGTGCCAACAAGCTCAGGGGAAGCAGTTCCCTGGTTAAAATCTGCTTGGGGATTTGGTACATCTGGCCGTAGAACAATGGCTCATGTTGTGAAGATGGGCACAGCTTTATCAATGGAGAGAGAGAGTAAAGCTCCTGTCAAGGATGATTGTCACTTACCTGAGAGGCCAGATGAGTCTGCTGCTAGTAGAGATGAGTCTGCTTCGGTATCCAACCAAAACTTGCATGACAATATTTCTTATTTCTCTAACTCACATTTTGAGTCTGATGCTAGAAGAAATCAACTTCGAGGGTCTGCCGCATTGGTATCCAACCAAAACTTTCGGGATAAAAGTGTTACTCATCCATTATCTACCTCATATGATGCTAAAAGAGGACAGTTTCTCAAGTTTACTCCAGAATTTATCCTAAACATCCACACTGAGAATGATAAGCCAAAAACATCGATTAAAAAGTCACAACATGTGCAATTTGGTAGTTTTGGTTCTGGGATGAATGGATCTGCCCAGGTAACTCTATCCTATCTTTTCCATCTTTAAACGACTTCTCTTGACCCATGTGATTCATATTTAGTTTGGTTTCATTTTTTCAGGCGCTATCTATCAGTGAACCACAGATGAATCAAAAAGCCATGGACCACCATTACTCTCAGCCTATGGTGCATTCAGGTAATAATGATGAACTATCCATACTCTCAGCCAACACATAATGACACCTCTAGCTACAACATGTCACCATTAGCAGTTCAGAAACATGGTGGTCGTAACAACAACAACAGCAAGAACAAGAGCAGCCTTTTACAAGGACTGGCTATGAAAATGAAAGAAGTCGTTACTATGCATCTCCGGACAAAGGAAACAAATAGAAGAGAGAGACCCATCTAACCAAAACCAACAACAGCCGCGGCGAAGAAACAACTACCCCTTTTTTAGTATTAGCTACTCTTTTTGTGCCTTAGCCTTAGAAATATAGTCTTTTTTACTTTGGCTTTGGGTTTGATGTTTCACATAGACGGTAGTAAACTATAATCGAATTGTGTATGTAACCAAAATCACTTTGTCCTGATGGTTTTGTTATTCATATATATTGTGGATTCACTCATGTTTAACGATTTCTTCAATAAAATCAATTCACTAACCATCTGAGACAATACTGAAAATAGATAGTTCACGCTTTGTTAAACCACAGTATTTGAAGTCCCAATTTTTGCTTATGTCCACTAAAATAAGAAAGAGAGCTTAATTAGTAACTTTTTCCCCAGTAGCTCCACTTCTTTGCAGGCTTTCCTGATGCAAAGCATAGAGTGTCTTTTCTTAGTTCAGGCTGCTCAAGGGGAGTACACAGAGTCTTAGCTCCTCCTCCTCCTGTTTCGTCACCTCTAGTACGCTTCTTCACATCCTTCTCTACCTCAACTTCGTCACACCATGGAGCTAGAATCAGTTTCTTTTGGCTCAAAGCTTTCACAAATTCATCCCAAGTTTCAACCTTTTGAGTGCATTCTTCCACCTTTCTCTTTGCCACATCATAAAGGTTTCTCTGTATTTTCTCCAGCAAGTCCTTAACTTGTTCAATCATGCCCCCTCTCTTGACATCCATCTTAGCTCCAGTGTCACGCCTCACTATTCTCACCTGCTCAGAATCCAATATAACCGTTGTTAGCATACACACAGATTATGAGACCTTGTTATTAGTACAAGATAGTATACTGACCTGATCATTGGCCAAATCTCTGGGTCCAATTTCAATTCTCAAAGGACTACCCTTTAGTTCTTGATCTGCATACTTCCAGCCGCAAGAATAGTTGTCGCGGATATCTACTTTAGCACGGATTCCAGCCTCTTGCAAGGTGGATTTAACAGCTTCACAAGCATTACACAGTACTTGGTCATCAGCAGCACCTTTGATGGGAACCTGGATCACAACAACTTGAAAAGGTGCCACTCTTGGAGGGAATACTAAGCCTTCGTCATCTCCATGAGTCATAACCATTACTCCAATCTATAGTCATATCAAGTTTTGATGATGATTAGAGAAAACAAACAAAAAAACATTAAAACATTCAATACTTACCGATCTGGTACTTAATCCCCACGAATTCTGCCACACCATGGATCTCTTTCCTTTCTTATCTTCAAAAGTGACATCAAACATCTTGGCAAAGTTTTGTCCCAAAGAATGTGACGTTGCAGCTTGTATCCCACGACCAGTGCTTGGGATAAAAGCCTCAATGCTTGTGGTGTAAAGTCCACCAGCAAACTTTTCGTTCTCACTCTTAATACCTTTAATAACAGGAACTGCAAGAAGCTCTTCATACACGCGGCTGTAGATGTTCAAAACATCAAGCACCTGCAATGAGAAAGCTGATTAGAGCTGCATTCTAAAAGATGGATTAGAAAACCAAATCAAACTTGTTTACGTACCTCTCGGTCTGCCTCTTCTTTGGTAGCAAAAGCAGTGTGTCCTTCTTGCCAAAGAAACTCACGGCTCCTGATAAAGGGCGTAGGGTCACTAGACTCCCATCTAACAACATTACACCACTGGTAAACCTTCAATGGGAGATCCCTGTGTCCTCTAATCCACTTGCTGAAAAAAGGATAGATCACAGTCTCACTAGTTGGACGTAGAGCAAATGGAGTTGCCAACTCTGTATCACCAGCTCTTGTAACCCAAGCAACCTCTGGAGCAAACCCTTCAATATGGTTCTTCTCCTTCTCAAGAGCACTACCGGGTACAAATATTGGGAAATAGTATTCCTCCACGTTCATCTTCTCAATTTCAGCATCGAATAACCTCTACAAGAACACAAACACTGAATGAAATGATGAAACCGAATCAAACAGAGCTTTCTTGACCTTGAAAACAAATAAAACTCACTTGTATAGTTTTCCAAATCTTCATTGCTGATGGCTTGAGAATGTAGATTCCCTTAACCGATTCGTAGTATTCTACCAAGTCACCGAATCTACAAACCTGAGCGAGAAAAAACAAGAATATGATCAAACCCTAAAGTAGCTAGAGAGAGTATATATATAATAAGATTCATATATACATACCTCAGAATACCAATTCCCATAGTCTTCATCTCTCTTTACAGAGATACCAAGACGAGTTTCTTTCTTCATCTCTTTCTTTTTCCTTTCACACGAAGAATTAACAGAGGCTTCTCCTTCTCCAGTAAGTAGTGCTTGATTTGTCTTAACCTGGAGAGCACGCAAACGAAAAAGTCAGAGGTTGTAATATAATCTTGTGTTTGGATTTTATGTAAGTCGTCGCATATCGTTATCGTACCACAGAAGAATTTTCATCGGAGATCATTTGGGAACCTAAACGAGTACCCAAATCGTCTTCCACTGACTTCACCATGTTCTTGTCTTCGTTGAAGCTCTGGTTTTGTGAAAAAATGTTACGCTCTTAGCCATTCCAATAAAAAACCCTAGCTTTT